CCATGTCTCTTTTTATCTTCTTTCCTTTTTCACGATTTTCTACTAAATTTCTTATTACCCCCCTTTATTTACATGAAATGTTAAATTCGGGAATATCTTTGCAAATGATGCTTTAGGGATTACATTTTGTCTTTCTGTCAATTAAATTTATCAACAATCTGATGTCAGCTGCTGTTAAGTCGTGTGTCTAGTTGCCAGTTCAGTGGTAAATACATGTTTACCTATTTTAGTTTAGGGAACAGTCTTTATTCGGCTGTAAAATGTATGGGAGTTTACAATTAGTTTATATACAACAACGGTAATGCAAATCAAGCGGGGAATCAGTTTTCATCTTTTTAAGTTCATAATGCAATTTTATAAAAATCATATGTAATTTCTTGGAAAATTTTGAGTTTGGAATATTTTCTACTTTTAATTGCATGTATTTGAGTAAAATTATTATATATTTCTGCAAAACAACAACAACAACAAAACGCGAATGTTTCAAAAAACGTTATATGTGCATTAAATATGGGATATACATTTTCACACTTTGTTTGCAAATATTGACCCATGCAATTCTGCCAATTCTTTGTATACTCGACTTTCCCTACTTGAAATACAAAAGATAATGTGAAAAAATAGATTAAAGGTACTCCACTGAGGATTATACAATATTGATTTCTGACAAAGATCCTCTGAGGCACTTAGAACAGGAAGATATGCTAGGAAATAAATTGAAAATTGTATTTTATTAATATTTATTTCATTATTATTTCCCCTTTGCTATTAATTGCCCGATTTGAATTAGCTAACGTGAGAAAGCTTTTGAAATTTTGGGTTATTTTTCACATCGACGAAACACTTTTTAATGACACACAGCGTCGGACCAGGCTCTATATTGTTGGTCACTTAATTTTTTTTGTAGGATATTGAAATACACCTTAATGTTCAAATGGACTGTTCCAAATTCAAAGCAGGGCAAATCCATTACACAAGTTCTTGAGGTTAAAGGTTAAAAGGGCTCCACTGAAGTTTTCTGGAAGTATTTTCCGATATTTGTTTACCATTCGATGTAGGTCTGAACCAATAATTGAACTTCTGTGCAAATTTTAAGATCCTTCCTTTATTTTTATTGTGCAAAATTACTCAAAAAGTGAACACTTTCCGCTTTCCACAACAATTGGGCTAAGAATTCACTTTGTCTTGATTTTTGATTTAATTCTGCGGATATTGTTTTATTATCCTTTGCAGAATTTTCAATTTTAAGCGTGTCACTCGATTTATGTCAAAATTTATGTTTTAGACTTTTTGATCTCAGTGGAGCTCCTTGAATATACTGACCCGATAAGTGATTGATTATGTATAATAAAATCGAGATTGACACTGACAGAAAGCAGGTACATTTCTAACAATTCATTACCTAAATGTATGTTCTTCATTTAATATGTTATTGAACTTTATGAAATTGGGGTTTTGTTATAACAAAACAGGCATTAGACCACAGCTGTTTTCTCTCGGCCAATCAGAGAAGTTTAAAAGTGTTTGATATATCCCACACATCACAGTAAAGTGTTTGATATAACTATCATGTTTGTATTCAACTGAAAGGAAAAACCAGTTATGTGCACGCTTTATGCGGGGAAAATTTCTATGTATATGGTAAAGTAAATAGTGTAATGCCCCATTTAAAATCAAAGAACAGAAGGCGCTGAATTTGTTTGTCAGAAAGATGAAGGTTGTGAGATTATAAACCAATTTGTTTTTGTATAGTGCCACCAATGCTTTCCAGCGTTTTAATTGTAGTAAATTGGCTATAAGACTAATTGCAACACTGATATTCAATTCAATGTTTATTTAACTTAAACAATTTGAAAAAAATGAGTTGCCTTAATTGGGATTTGAACTCCAGACCTCTCGCTTCCTAAGGGAGCGCGCAAACCCCTCGGTCACGGTGAAGTTATATGTTAACGGCCTAAAGAAAACCATATTATTCTAAATTAGGGTTTGTAACCCTTATTATTTCGACGCTAACTAGCTGTTGTTTAACACAGATGTAAATAATCATGGAGCTTACTATATAAGCATGTATATCTATAAAGAATTAAACAATATAGGAAATATTCGACCATCCGGGAACTAATTTGCTTGAAAATTAATGCGCCTGTCATTTGACCATCTTTACGCAGTGATCTCCCCTGAATTTTTCGGCGTTAGTGTACATATAAAGGGTATTAACCGCTTCAAAAAAGCGGACTACTTTCGGCAATGGCAATTAACAGCATCAGGGTCTGAAATTTCGCTACCATTATTTGTTTGGTCTGACGACCCAAACAAATAAAAAACCTAACAGATAGCAATAGTCCTTTGACCAATTTATTTTGTCATTTCAATAGTTACTGTATTTGTAAATAAGAAAAAAACAAGCAATAATAAAATGGTATGCGTTTATCAAAAACTACCTAAATCTATATAATTATGTATCTTAATTTTACGATCCCTTTTGTGCTACTGTAATATTGTCAGGCACATATTTCAATAATCTCATCCTGAATTATGCCCGGCTCACTCCTAATAGCAGACATTGTAGATTTACATTCATTTACTGGTTTGGGAAGAGGGGATTCCACTGGTGGGGAAGGGCGTGGAGTTTCCGAAAGGTTATTGGGCTGCAGTTGCAACGCTAAGGAAATGCTATGCTTTAAGGCTTCAGAGGGACGTTTGTAATATATGTTATTTTGGTTTTGGAGTGATATATGTGGATATATTACCTGTTAAGATTTTATATCACCCGAGCCGTTAGGCGAGGGTGATATTTTATCTTGGCAGGTAATATATCCACATATATCACTCCAAAACCAAAATAATAATTTTATTACCCTTCCCCTGCCGAGTTTAGACGATTTTTTTAAAAATCATTGCTGTTTCAAATGAAACGTCGAAATAAGATTCCCTTTAGGGTACCTCTTCGTCACAACATGACGTCACATAATTTTTCCCGTACCTGACGAATGTAAACAAGAGAAAAGGAGTAGTCTATTGAACGCACTTTTTTGTAATTAATATCAAGCTTTCACAAGGTCATATTTGTTTTCGATACTGATGGTAATATGTATCATTACTCTACTTTGGTTATTATTTATCATTTGACAGTTAAAAAGTGGTTTTAAATCGGAATTTACACCGCGTAAAATCGAACCGTACGCGCATCACCTCCGCGCATGTTGTTTACAACGTTGGGTACCCAACGGGGAAATTTAGTGTGTATATTACCCGTCTGGCTCGGTTATATCAATTTCTTTCGGGTGATCAATATCCAATCAAAAAGGCGGAAAAATCTGAAAGGGTAATAATACTTTTTAGTTCATGAATGAGGTAAAAAAAACCGTCAATGCAGGATGTATATAAATAAACAAATCTATACGTCAAGTAAAATATTTTGAACTTCAGCCGGACAACCAATAAATATCCTGCCCATGATTTCTGTCTAAGAGTATTTTGCGGAAAGCAGTCTTGCTTCTTGACTTATAATTCAAGCGCTTTGTACGGTGCTGTCATTAAATCATTTAAATGAGGAATCAACAGGAATAACAACAAAATCTCTCAAGTTGCGAAAATGTAATGTCACCACATTCAGAAATGTTAAATTTTTCCCAATTTTCTTCTGAGTAGAAATTTATAATGGAATGTGAAATCTATCATTCATAAGATTGTGTATTCAGTGACTATATTCATGAAATAACATGAATTATGCCGTTTTCTCGTGCATTTTATTGCCTACAATAAGGCCAAATAGATTGAATAAGAAATAGTTGGATATCCTTATGAAATAGTCGGAGAAGAAATCGTTTACACATGTTTAATCTTCACCTTAAACAGAGAAAACTACCTGTGGTCTAAGTCAGATAGATCGCTCGTACCAGTTGGATGTGAGATTTTTCAACTCGCTTCGCTCGTTGATAAATCTCACATCCAACTGGTACTCATGATCTATCCTATACTAACATTATACTGTTGAATTATCAGATACATGTATATGGTTGAATAAAAATGACATAAACGACCTTTATATACAAGAATAATAATAGTTTTAGATATAAATTTATATTACACAGACTTGCACAGTTATTTATCTTAGATCTATTCACAACTTCCATGATTATGTTCATATCATGTGTACTTGCTCAACTTAGAAAAAAGTAGTCCGGCTACACACCAGTGAAAATACGGTAAATATGTTTCACTGCAGTGAACTTATTCAGTGAAAATACAGAAAATGAAAAAAAGGCATTTCATTTTATCAATATTTCTCAATATTTCATTTATAAACATGTATATAATTAAACATAATATACATGAAGATCCACTGTTTTTGGGAACTGGTATAAGACATTATATTATATATTATGTCTATATCATAGAGTAACTAAAAATCTTATAACAAATCCTTCTACTGATTTGCTGTAATTCTAAATTATAAATAGATCTAATAATGTAAGGTATTAAAAAACTCGTTTCCAAAATTCCTATAAAAATGTTCTTGTCAAAGAAAATCTAGTTTTTAATGGATTTCATTTTGGATCGCTTTGCAATGCTTTGCATGAAACTCATGACTTTTTGAAGAAATCTTTCAGGAATATTATTCAGAAAATTACATCAGATGAAAACACATGGTGTATAATAAAACTGATTGTAAATTACATAATAATATAGGACATTGTAAAAAAAAGTCATATAAAACGCGAAGGTAGGAAACACACATGTATATGTTTATATGAAAAATAATACAATATGTACTATACAAATGTATATTGAATGACACAGCACATTTCACACAACTAGCATGCTTTTCTCTTCTTATTTTAAAATTCACATTTATTTATTGTAGATTCTGCGACTCTGAACACATTCAAGTTTGACCTGAATATTTTTTGTTTATTTTGTTTGTTAGCTCACATTTTGGAATAAAAGAGTCCAAGCGTTATCAAGATGGCGCACGAAAAATAGTCAGTGTTCTGTACGGCACTGTTTGGAGGAATTGAAACCCTGTGTGTCGATGGCGTAACTTTTGTCGAGTTTCTAGTCACTATGGTTGATTCCCTCTGAGCCGGTTCCGGTTTGCTGGTTCCTACGCTTGATTTTTCCAGCTGGTTCTCGGGAGCGCTGTCACCTAGAGGCGGTTGTGTTGGCGCCAATGACGTTAACTTAGTTATAAGTGGAGCTGGTAATAAATAAAATGTTAATTTTACATATACGTATCTTTTTACTTATATATATGTGTTAAAATGCGTTCAAAGTTTCATTACGAGATTGATATTGTTATTTACAATAGCTTCAGATAAAACTCTTGGCTAAATGTGACATGCGGAAAGAAATGTATTGATGAACGTGAATGAAGAATAATCATCCCTAAGAGAAGAAAATTTGTAGAGCTATTAAGTACAAAAATGATTTGTGTTCGTTGCACACTAAAATCTAAAACAAAATCCACACATTCTTGGTTAAATGTACGTTTTTATTAGCATTTTTTTCTGATAGACCATAAGTTTCAAAAAATCCAAGGCAAGATCGTAAAAGGTCCAAGTAAACAATATAAAAAACACACACTTTTTTGTTTCGACTACTTTTACAACATGACAGCTTTGGACAAATTTACATTTATTTTTCAAAAATACTATGTTAAGTTTGACAACTTAAAAGGACTAACTTGTAAGTAACATACCACAAAAATGTCAAAAATAAATTGCTTACATATTGATGTTGTGTCAGGTACACCAGCAATATCCCGGCATTTTCCCGCCAACATTATATAAAAGTCGTACATCAGTTTCCTCTTTGGTTCGGAACAACTTTTCAATTCCTTGTGGAAACACCCAGCCGTTGCCACCGAAATTCTTTAAATGAAAAATGGTCAAAGTTGCATAATTGATTTTAGATATACTGGTATAAATTTCGGAAATCTGTCAGTTACACCAGTAATGTAAAGGATTGAGCGCCTTTACAATCGCAACTTCTCGGCTTCTTCCGTCAAATTTCGGATAAAAAGTTATTATGAATGATAGCCGAGATGTTCCAGTTGTCACCTTTGTTCGGAAGACATTCGAATTTTACCGTACATGTAATTTCGCTTTGGAACAAAGGTCACATGACTGTCAGTTATAAAAGACTGAGAAATCGAAATCAGTTTAATAGACACTCATTTATGACAGTAATCTTTATTTAATATAAGGTAAAATCTATAGCTTACATGCAAGCGTAAATAGCCGCCATTTGCTTTTTTTGCGCTGTTAGGGGCTGTCGAGGTAGGAAGTGTCCGTAAAAATGGTCGGTCGCTGACTTTGTAGTCCACTGCATACATTTACCAACTGCTGGCATATCGCCGTCAACACATGTAAGATTTGATATGTCTGAAAATTTAAACAAAGGCTAAGATAAGTCAGTTGCATGTCTTGTGCAAAAAGTTACTAAAACCATGTTTTCTTACATTTGATTCCGCAAGAAGCATACACGAATGGGTTAAACTCTTCATCTGGAATTACTTTGAAAAAGACAAAATTACAGTCGACTCTCGTTATCTCGGGACCTCCGAAAAAGATCGCGATAACAAAATTTCGAGATAACGGATAAGCCATAATAAAGGTTTATTCATAGTACTACATTTTATAATGTTTTTATCCATATAATAATTTGTCACCGCTTTTATCTATAACCATTAGCCTGCTGGCTGTGACAGCTGTGACCTATTCGACCAGTACTGACCAAGATTAGCGGGCACATTCGTTCTTTCTAATCATGGTCTGCACTGTTTGCTATTCAGTGTTCAGTTCGCACTTCTTTTGAAATGTCCCTAAAAATGATGAATGGTTTTGTCCAGATTGTCGAATGGATAAATTCATTTAAGAAACTAAGTAAATGTTAAATATATTCTAGAAAAAGAGGATTCTACTAACTTAGAAAGACGGGCCACTGAAATGTTCCAATCATGAAGAAAGTTATTTCATTATGGGCTGAGGGGGGGGGGACTTACATGGAAATCTCGCGCATAAACTGTTGGACATTTTCGTTGCCATAGTTTCGTTATAAATGAGTTTGAGGTACCAGTCGCTGGCACTACTTGCTGTGGGTAAAGTTCTTCCGAGACACGGCAGCACGTCCTCGTATACTCTGAAATAATAAAGAAATCGTTGTCAAATATAAGCTATTCTAAATGTTTATCTTAACAAAAAGTACTTGTTTATAAAATCAAATTTATTTGACATAGGCATGTTGACAAAATTAATATGTTGTACTTTTTAGACATTTTATGAAAAACTGTTTCAAATACAAAATGTGTGTACAAGTATGTCACATTATGTTTCTCAGGAGGTTTGTTATCAGAATGAATTTGTAAGATTCATCACATACATCTGATACAACAATCTTCACACAGTGATCTCCCCTTAATTCTTCGGCGTAGATCTCTGCCACCAAGGTCCAGATATATCAGAATTTCTGATATACTATATTTTTTCAAAAATCGTTTTATCTACTGCTTCTATCTATCAGACAAGTTTTCTCTCATTTATTTAACAATGTTTATGAATAAATAAATAAATAATATGAATATTTAGTAATAAGTTAAAAAAATATGAGATTATTTTCTACCGAGACGATATTTTGATATTTTATATTTTTTAGCTTTTGAATTTATTTTTCGTTATTTTGTATACTTTCGATAATTTTTTGATAAACTATATCGAACGTAGGCACTGAAAGTTAAAAATAAAACAGACGAGAAAAATAAAGTTAGATTTTCTTTGTAACGGTCGATATTTACATTTGAATTTCGACGTTACGTCATGTGACTTTCATCATCATGTGACGTCTTTGAAGGCAGTGATTACAATACTGCCAAGGGAGGTAATCACTGTGAGGAGTTTGCTGATACAAATGCAACACTTGTCATGGCGTTTATTCGCGACCGCCACTATATAAGAGCGTAACAACCATTGAGCATTGGTTTAACGGAATTATACGAAAATTACTAATTTTCGTTTTCAAAGTCCATGGTGTTGGTAAAAAAGTAACGCTGACACACGAAGAGGTTTCTTTACATTAGTTTATATAAGTAGAAGGTCCTGACTTTCATCAAAGAACATGCATTGTCATCAGTGTCCCCCCCCCCCCCCCCCCCCCCCCAGGAAAAAAACCACGAGAAATATTGTTGTAATAAAATGCGTTTTTTTTCCGTATTGTCACTGTTGTCACTGTAAAACCTATTTTTCGTTTGTTTGTTTTTTTTGTTTGTTTTTTTGCCATGGTGTCTTGCCGGCCTACTTTCTGCTAAATTCAGTCAATACACTGAATTTAACGGTGAGTAATTCAAATTGTAATGTCTAAAAAGAGAAAATGTATATAATAAACCGAAAATTCAAGTTTCTTTTATAAATACAGAATTTATCTCCATCTTGTGGTATGAAAATTATCATATTTCACTCTTGGCTACCGACAATATCTGTGGGCAAATAACATACTTATTAGATAACATTACTGTACTGCTAAACTAAACTAAAAACACTTTTGTTCAAGAAGACAAGTAAGAATATATGTAAACTTTATTTAAAATATTTAATCTAAAAGTAGTTTGAATATTTGTCTGTATATTAACTTTGTATATTTTGGACGCATCGTTTTCAAAAGAACATTTTTTTTCATAATTACTAAAGCTTGGAACATACACAATGATAAATCTATTGAAATAATGATTATAAATTTATCTATGCTGTGATTGGTTATTCATTTAAGTTACGGATATCAGGACAATTATTCCCGGCCCTACATTTTTTCTTTTTTTATTTCCGGTTGAAAATCAAAAAGAAAGAACAAAGTCGTTATAAATTTCAACAGAACTGGTACTTAGTATCAAGTTGTTTTTACATTATTTTTTATGGGTATAAAATAAATATAAGACAATATATGTGCCCTATAATTGTCAATAATTGTCATCCGGACACGTCATATCCGAAATGATGTTGATTTAAGACCGCGGACCACATATCAGCGCGGCTAAGATTAATTTCATTGTGACATGTAATAGGTCGAGGTAAATTAGCGAGTAATTAAACTAGCATTACGGATGACAGGAGATACTGGGGGACACTTCGTGATAGCCTTAGAGATCCCCCTACACGACATATTTGCTAGATTTACTGTTTCTACATCACTTATTATCAAACAATTTCAGTTTTTTTTGCTCCTCTTAATTTATAAAGAAAAAGAAAAAAGAAAAACTTTTTATTATTTTGTTCACCATAAAAGTATAAAGATTTTTTTTCTTACAGCAGAGGACAAATTTCATATAGCTTTTTACATGGGTTAAGCTCATATCAATTCCCCGGCTTATCTTAAAACCATTGAAACCGTTTAATATTTTGATGTTTGGTTGTTTTCTTTGGAATCATTTCGTGAGACCGTATATAAACATGTTTCTATAATAAATAAATGCTCACGTATTATTATTTTTAACATCCATAGTGGCATGTGTAGATTCAAACTGGTTCTATTTATGTTGATGATTGTTAACAACAACAACAATAACAAAATCAACAACAACAACAACAACAGCAGCAGCAGCAGCAGCAGCAACAACAGCAACAACAATAATAATAATAATAATAAATAAATATTATTAATAATAATAAAACAAAAACAGTGGCATTTATCCTATAGAATTGAATAATAGTGTTATTCAAGGTATCCAAATTTGAATAAATTATTCAGTTCAAAGTTGAAAGTATATCACCTTTGAAACATTTTTTTCTGACATATGTAAGGATTGTGTGCATTTTCCCGCAAGAAATTGTACATTTATTAGTGTGTGTTGCGGTTTACAAGTCGGACTTTTTTTGTAAATAATATTGCCACAGGATAATCGCTTTAAGCTGGCAAAAAAAAAAAAAGAAATCAACTTTACTTCTTATGATAAATCATCGCTTACACCAATTATTATTTGTGCGAATGCTATCCATCAACGTTCTTTTAGTCTGACTCATGGGCGGAAAAAAGGTAACTATAACTACCACTGTTAATGTTTAAAAGAAGGTCCTAACACATTTGTATAATATTGCTCCGGCTTATTTTTTTTCAACCAATACATACATGATATGATATTGAAGTTTTTTTCTCTATTAATACAGGATTTATTTTCATCGGATGGTATGAAAATAAATATTTCATGAGCGGCAGTAGCCACGAGTGAAATATGATAATTGTCATACCACTACATGAAAATAAATCCAGTATCTATAGGGAAAAACTTCAGTTCTTGAATTTTCTGTTGCAGACGACTTCCTATATAATTGTGTGTGCATTTGCTAAATTTAGAAGAAAGAAGTCCGGCATGATACCAGTAAAAATACGGAAAATATGTTTCACTGCGGTAAAAAAAAGAATTTTTAGGATGATAAATACCGAAAATGAAAATACCCATTTTATTTCATCAATATTTCAATGAAAGTATGCAATAAATTACATATAACTGTATTTTTTTCTGCTGGCGTTTGCTATTTATAATACACCTATATACTCACGTGCACCATTTATATATAGGTTCCGCGTGCTTTCCGCTTCTTGACGTGTTCGATTGCTTAGCAACAGCTTGTCTCTGGCACATGTCGAGGGCGAGATTGGGAACAGCCGGAGAGGTTCCCGGCATAAATCCGGGCAGTCTAGTGGGGGCAAATCTCTGCGCATTACAACAATATAGCAACAGCAGTACCAGAAAGATATTGTTTGAAACTGAAAACAGAAAGATATTAACAATAAATGTCATTGAATTATCAAAGTCTACTGATCACCTTTCATTCTGAACACGCGACACATTTTCATGGTGTAATTTGGAAACACCACTTTATTATATTAGAACATTGATTAGTCAGTCTATTTTAAAAAATGTTAACCAACGATTATTGAGAAATATTTTGAAATAATTAATAAGTGTCTTTTACGATATATACTCTACATAAATACATATTTTTTTTATTTCAAGTACTGAAAATACCTACTCATTCTGGTCTTAAATCAACAGTATTTCTATGCAGTTCCGAATAATTTCCTTTGCATAGATTTTTTTATAATATTTCTGCAAATTATCCGCTTAATTAAATCCAAAGAATTCAAAACACTATCGAAAAAATATAGTTTTTTCATAAAAAAAAGAGAAAAGAGAAAACGAGAAGAAATTAAAAACACAAGTATTCTACTGAAACAATCGTGAGGACAATAAGTCTAGTGGCCTAAATAAACTTTATTTTAGGAGTACGTTAACGGCAGAAGTTGCGCTGCCTTGCAGCATATTTGACAGGCCCTGTGTGTCCGTTGACGTAGAATAATAGCCACTCGCGTTTACTGGATTGACAAATGACGGTGTCAGGGGGGATGAACTTTACCATTAGAGGTTGAAGTGTCGCGCTAATACTACCCATCATCATAACGCATGAACTGGAGTTTCAAACAAGAGAAAAACATTTGAATTGTCATGTAACATTATAATAAACTTCTTCAAAGAAATATTTTTGTTATGAATGTTAATGCTCCATATAGTTTTTGTTTAGTTTTTTTGTTGGGTGTAAGTATGTTACTAAAAAGAATGGCGTTATTAAACAACAACAAAAACCATTTCAAGCTGTATGTGAATTGTTTTCGTATTACGGTAAGTCCAAAGGTCGCACAGCTTTTTATAGTAAAATCTTTTGGTTAATGTTCATTGAAATACTGTTTCGTTAAATGTTTTAAAATATTTGTTGGGGTGAGCACCAGTTTTTACAACATTTCAGCCATTTTTTGGCGGGCGAAGTCTCCCAGGATTCTATGTACAGCATCATTTATCCATTTTCCACAAGTAACTACCATGCAACTTCTCTTCTTATACGATCTAAACAGTGGCGAAGTCGAATAATGTTGTAAACATATTCAAGTTAACAAACAACTTTGACGTACATTGACTTGATACTGCCACTCTACTACTACAATAAGCTATCCAGAGAATTTCTAAAATATACCGTATAATATATAGAGGATATTGAATGAGTGTAAGTTTAATATTGAATTTATTGAACGAGTTGTATAAAATTGTGATATGCGAACCTTTGGCGAGCATAATAGTATTTCATTCAATGAGTTCAATAAGTTCAGTAATGCACTTTCACGAATTTATTATTCTATTTATCACATACCAGAAATAAAGACCGTTTGAAGTGAAAATTAAGAACCGTTTTTAATTGACGCGCCTATAGTACAACGTTAACATTTCGCGCGTCTTACGAGACGTAACACATGAGATATCGAATTATCACAACAACCAACCAATAACAACAAAAACAGCAGCAGCAACAACAACAACAACAACAACGACGACGACAAAATGTAACACCATCAAACAATTTTAAACAACTTAATGTTCCATGAGCTTCTCGTATATGTTTCATTTTCTTTTGTCAAAGGTTAAACAGTTGTCAGCAAAAAACAGAAAAACACATGTTACCCATTAGAGATTAAATACCTGCGATTCATGCACGTAATTTTTTTTTCGGGCATTGACACTTAAAAGGCGGTACCCTATAAGTATTACACATGAATTTCAGAAATACATTGTAGTCATGATTCGTTCATGAAAATAAATCACTTAATTGTCGCTTTTACTTTGTTAGAAAAATGACTAGAATGTGAAAAAGAACTAGTAGTACGTTCGGTACTAGTATTTTTAAAACATTTTTTAAATGTTCGTACTTATCCCAACATAAATAGCAATTAACTTCTTATAACAGTTACTTCTTACTTTGATCTTTAAGTTATTACATTAGAATTAAAAGTATCCTGGACATAGAGCAATGAAAACATGTTATCAAAAAGTAGACCAGCGAGTGGACCTCAGGTGTCTAATTTACAACAATGTAATGTCAGCTTCAAATCGAAACTTTTCGGCCCTTCCGTCAGTCTTCGGATAAGGACTTTATTATTGATAAAAGCCGAGATATTTACATTGCTCAACTTCCTCACCAGCCTAATTTGCTAGACCTTAGTCCCTATGATCTAACTTTTCTGAAAATCATAACTCAAAGGTATAAAGCTATATCTTGAGAAATATTTTTATATAATTTATGAACAGTAAAATTATATTGTTTTTTTTTAATCTTACATATATTGCCGGTGTTATTTAATACACATGGATATTATACACAAACAGAATAAAATGTTCCAGAACAAAATAATTTATATATTATTTTGCTATTTTAAGAAGAGTTTTAACCATCAAGCAATGAGTTTGTGCATTCACGATTTGCTTTTACTGCCATTAAAGTAATTATAACCATATTTGTATCATACAACCATTTTGGAAGTATTTTTTAAAATTCAAAGAATAATTTTTCCTGGAGATATAGCTTTATACACTTTGATGTTAGTTAAGTCTTGGCACACAGAACCTGTCGTGGATAACTGGCACATTAAATTTATTGGCCGTAAAATGGAATATTTTTTATAAAGATATTTTAATTCGCGGTTGTAAAAGAGCCAATAATTATTAAATACGATTTTCTTAATCAAAATTATATTAAGATTTAAAAAAAAAGAAAAAGGTGAAATAAAAATACACGCATTAAAAAGATACATGTCATTATGATAAAAAATATGTTTGTATTATACCGATATTTGAACACCACCAGAAAAAAACAACATCATATAAAAGTTTTTTGTTTTTGTCTTTGACATTTTTTAAAGCCTCCAAAACTGCATGATAACCCTAGCATCTGCTGTGATAAAACAAAGATGTATCTAGTTGTCCAAAAATGCCTTGGGTGAGGCTATTTTCCAATGTTTTTTTTTCCCTAAATTGCAGCTTGAAAAAAAATATTTCCGTTATATTAGAATACTTTGAAGACTTAAAGTTACCAATTTTTATCGTGTATCGAAATGCACCTTGCAAAGCCTTCGTGACAAAATTAAATTACATTCTTGTGATATATGATAAATGTTTTTACAAACAAGCCTGACTTGACAGGTATAAACCCCGGAGCACAAGTTAGAGTTCAGTGTAACTAATATACATGCAGACAGGTGTTATCATTGACTAATTATCACACATAAAGACATGAAAATAGTTTTAGGTACGTCAAAATGTTGTTCTGTAAAATGAATTGATTTGCGTTATAAATACATGTAATCAGAAATGGAAGACAAACAAAATATTTAATACAAATGTTGTTAACAAAATGTTACATGGATTAAAATATACTTAGAGCTCTACAGTTCAAATATATTCACTGTATACTGCTTTTTGATATTATTTGCATAGGCTTTTTTTAAACTCCATACGCTTATCAAACGGTTTAGGGTCTCCGACCTAAAATCTGAATATTTTATGGACTATAATTAAATTTCCATGCTGAGTCAAACCATTCACATCGTGTCTACAAATACTATTTTAACCGCGTAAATCGTGACACATATTACACTGAAAAAAATGCTTCATTTGTGTTGTTCTGCTTTCTTTCTTGTGTCGTTTACATACCATTACCCTTTAGATACGTCAGAATCCTTCACATCTTGTTCTTAAAGGCCCAATATACCTCAGAATTACTATAATTTATGATTCTCAAAAACGTTTTATTTTTGCAGTTTCCAAATAATTACTAAATTTGTACATGGAGCTAAATATAAGATTTATATATCTGTGATTTGTATTTCAAAAAGGACATGTCAGTACTGTTATCAGCAGAACAATTCAATTAAAAGGAGGTAATCATCTTTGGGAACATTTTGAGAAACATTTGGCCGGCCAACCCTATAACAAGATCGTTTTAATGTGTCAGACATGTCATTTTTCTAGAAAACTCACATCTTTAGCATGCATACACATTTTTTCTTCGGTTGGTTAAGTGGTGATTTCTAGTAAGTGTATGTGAAAATTAATACAAAAGTCTGACCTAATGAAACTCAATTGAATGACACTTCAATAGCAGACGACACATTTATGTGACATGTTTTCGCGGATGCATATCGCTGCAAACATCTTTTGCACAAAATGTATGCAGTCAGCCACGTTTCCGGTGCCGATACGGGTTTAATCGGCCTATTAATAAGTAATTAAACTGTTAGGGTAATTTTCATATAAAGACAAGTTTGGCGAGAAAAAAGTTGAATGAGTATATAACTTATTTGATTATCATTTTTTATTTGTTTGGGTCTTCAGACCAAACAAATAATGGTAGCGAAATTTCAGACTCTAATGCTGTTAATTGCAAATGCCGAAAGTAGTCCGCTTTTTTGAAGCGGTTACTTCCCTTTATATGTAACACTTAGGCCGAAAAATTTAGGGGAGATCACTGCGTAAATATGGTCACATGACAGGCGGATTAATTTTCAAGCAAAATAATTCCCGAATGGTCGAAGATTTCTAATATTGTTTTATTCTTTATAGATATACATGCTTATAGTAAGCGCCATGATTATTTACACAAGTGTTAAACAACAGTTAGCGTCGTTACAAACCCTAACTTAGAATAATATGGTTTTCTTCAGGCCGTTAACATATACAATCGCCGTGGCCGATGGGTTTGTGCGCTCGCTTAGGGAGCTAGAGGTCTTGAGTTCAAATCCCAGTTAAGGCAACTCATTTTTTTTTCAAATTGTTTAAGTCAAATAATTATTGAATTGAATATCAGTGTTGCAATTAGTCTTATTGCCAATTTACTACAATTAAAACGCTGGAAAGCATTGGTGGCACTATACAAAAACTAATTGTTTTATAATCTCACAACCTTCACCTTTCTGACATTCTGAGACCCAAACAAATTCAGCGCCTTCTGTGCTTTGATTATTACATGCTTTTCGGTGGTTTATTATACAGTTATTTATTTCATATGCGATTTGGGAACAGTCAAACTGTTGGCCCGAGGTGGAGGGGGTAGTGTTTTGAACTGTTGCCCAAGGCCGTAGGCCGAGGGCAACAGTTCAAAACACTATCCCCGACACCGAGGGACAACTGTTTGACTGTTCCCAAATCACATATGAAATAACTGTTTTATTACCTGATCAATTACTGTTTTAACAGTACTTGCAGAAGAAAAAAAGAAACAAGAAAATAGTTTTGCACATATGTTAATAATTAAACTTAATACTTTAACTATGTCACGTCACGTCTGGTTATGATCATGATCGATGGACGCTTCAATTAGGAATCCTCTATGACGTCAATGACGTCAGAGCACGCGAGGGAAACAGTCGAAACTATTGACAGGTCAACAGTTCGCGAACGTTGACGTTTTTAGAATTTCAGAAAGCAGTAAAAAATATCAAATTACAATTATATAAGGTATCAGGTAATAAAGAAATATATCAGTGAAATAAAAATGGTAATTTCACTATTTTAAACAGTGAAATTATCAATTTGATAATTTCACTGTTTTGAATTTAAGCCCCTTACGTTGTTTCAGTGAAATACCATCGTGCACAGTACTGGGAACCAACTTTATGACGTGACGTTGTATTATTATTTGGCGCGCTTTTCATTCAGTATTAGGTTTAATGTCTTTTAAAACGTTTCTTTGCATATAATAAAAAGAAAATTTGTTTAGTATAGTGTAAGATCGAAATATATTTCACCTTGAGAACACCAAAAGTTCATATTTCACTCGTGGCTGCGCCACTCGTGAAATATACATTTTGGTGCTCACTCGGTGAAATATATTCCGATCTTACACTGAACTAAACAAATATCCTCTATATTATGCTCCGTCTGAAACGTCATGGTCTTGGAAACTGGCGTCACAATACACACGTTGACGTAACAAATGGACGTAATCGTCTTAGATACCATTGTTAAGTTCTGACGTAAATATAAGGCGTCAAATGCGCATACATAGAGGATATTGAATGAGTGTTAGTTCAATACTGAATTTATTGCACGAGTTGAATAAAATTATATTATGCGAGCCTCTGGCGAACATAATATTATTTTATTCAACGAGTGTAATAAATTCAGTAATGAACTTACACGAATTTTATATTCTTTTTATCACATACCCAAAATAAAGACCGTTTAAAGTGAAATAGAGTCATTTTTCATTGACGCACCTATAGTATAACGCTAACATTAAGCGCGTCTTTACACTATGTTTGTATAACGCTATTGACGTCACGTCAAAATATATACATGGCCGTGCAATACCATATTTACGGAGTCGCAAAATCGGCACGGGTGTGTGATAAAAGTACATTTTAATTTGACGCCAGGTATAATAAAGTATTAAGACTTGATGATTTATGGTATTTTTTTCATATAATTATGTAAGAATTGTTTGAAAACCAGTTTTATCACATACCCGTGCCGATTTTGCGACTCCGTAAATATGGTATTGCACGACCGTGCATATATTTTGACGCGATGTCATCAGCGTTATACAGACATAGTGTAAAGACGCGCTCAATGTTAGTGTTATACTATAGGCGCGTCAATGAAAAAGGTTGAATCAAATAATACTATGCTCGCCAGAGGCTCGCATAATTTAATTTTATTCAACTCGTGCAATAAATTCAGTTTTGATCTTACACTCATTCAATATCCTCTATTTATCGTTGTAGCAGATGTCCCAATGCTTGTTTAAATATTAAACTATTTTTGATAGAGTGTTTACAGGGGCGTGTCATAATCGTCATCAGCATATTTATATCACTCTTCATTTCCATTTTAAAATATAAGGATTTTGGGTTATTGACAATATTCCCTGCCTCCTGGCATTAAAGTAAAACATACATGCGCATTTGACGCCCTATTTTTACGTCAGAGCGTAACAATGGTATCTAAGATGATATCGTCCAACTGTTACGTCAATGTTTGTATTGTGACGTCAGTTTCCTAACGTTGACGTTTCCGACGGAGAATAAGAAAATGTCGAACAGATAAATAGAGGATATTGAATGAGTGTAAGTTCAATACAGAATTTATTGCACGAGTTGAATAAATTATATTATGCGAGCCTCTGGCGAGCATAATATTATTTTACTCAACGAGTGCAATAAATTCAGTAATGAAAATATACGAATTTAATATTCTATTTATCACACACCCAAAATAAAGACCGTTTAAAGTGAAATAAGAGTCATTTTTCATTGACGCGCCTTAAGTATAACGATAACATTTAGCGCGTCTTTACACTATGTTTGTATAACGCTAATGACGTCACGTCAAAATATATGCACGGCCGTGCAATACCATATTTACGTAGTCGCAAAATCGGCACGGGTGTGTGATAAATATAGGACATTGAATGAGTGTTAGTTCAATACTGAATTTATTGCACTAGCATAATATAATTTCATTCAACATGTTCAATAAATTAGTTATGATCTTACACGAATTTGATATTCTGTTTATCACATTCCAAAAATAAAAACCGCTTGAAGTGAATAAAGAGTCATGTTTCATTGACGCGCCTTGAGTAAAACGCTAACATTTAGTGCGTCTTTGTATTACGCTAATCGTCACATCAAAATATATGCATGGACGTGCAATACCGTTTTTACGGAGTCGCAAAATCGGCACGAGTGTGTGATAGTGTTTTTGCGACTCCGTAAAAATGGTATTGCACGGCCGTGCATATATTTTGACGTGACGTCATTTGCGTTATATAAACATAGCTTTAAGACACGCAAATGTTAGCGTTACACTACAGGCGTATCAATGAAAAAATTGTTCTTTTTCACTTCTAACGGTCATTTTTTTAGTATATAATAAAAAGAATATTAAATTCGTGTAAGTTCATTACTGAATTTATTAAACGAGTTGAATAAAACAATATTATGCTCGCCAGAGGCTGGCATAATATATACCGATTCAATCAGTTAAGTTATTTTAGCCAATAATAAATGGAAGGAGAAATTATGCTTTAAATTTATTTTAGATATTAATGCATCTATCAACATTTATTTATTTAAAGGTTGGTACATTTTTGTCATGGCTTGATCTTTCTTGGAAACTTGTTTAGATCTGCCAGAATTGATGGTATCGCTTACAAAAGATTCATTTTGTAATCATCACTTGAAAAAACTTGATAACTGTTTAAGATTTTATTGATATGGACCCCTATGTTTAGTCCGATGAATATTTAGTGGTTCATCATATAAATACATGTTTTAAATACACCTAAGACTGAGGTAAATGGAAAAAACTCTGTAGCCAATATTTTATAAAAAACATTAACTTTCTTGAATTTTTTTTTATCATTATTATAAACAAATGACTATTTTGATATAGTTAAAGTTGAGCAATTTATGTTGTGTCACTTAAAACAAACAATTTCTTATTATTTTTCTGATAACATCTGACAATAAATCAAGTATGGCATTCCTGCAAGTGTTGAAGTTAATACAACAAGTGACTTTATGTACTTTAGCCAGACATGACATCAGCGCCACAGAATTAAAAATGTGTTTGAATTAAGGTTGTGATTGAAAATTGGTTGTTTCGGGATATTTTTATTTATCTCGTTCAATAAATTCAGTATTAAACTGACACTCGTTGAATATTCACTATTACTTTATTATTTGTTGACTTCCATACGGATAATATTTAGTGGTGTTCAATCATTTCTGCATCTGGTACCCTGCATATAAAGGAAACCAGACTTCACCAGTGAGAGTGATTTGCCCTTGCATATTTTACAAATGGCGGCGTCTGTAGCAACGAGGCTCTTATAAAATCAATAAGAAATATGTTTTGCCATTAAAGTGTTCATTCATAGATTAAATCATATTGAGATTTCTTTCATTAAATCTTCACTTTCACATAAACCAAATATTTCTAAACGGATGCTAAACCATTTGATTCAATAAGAAATTTTTTGAGACCCAGCTAGCTGGTAAAGAGGAAAATTGAAGAGGTATGCAGACATTTTTCCTTTGTTAAATTCTATTCTTGGTCAACATAACTATTTTCCTTGAATGTCAGGTATAAAAAGGGAGTTGGTTCCTCTTATTTGCGTAAGTTTGAACGTTGATACTTCGTGTTATTCCATCTATTTTAGATGTCACCAAAATTAACTCGCAGGCATTGTTCTCCAAATTATGGTCATGACTCATGTTGTTTTCGTCTTGCATTTAAATACTAAGAACTAACTGACTCAAATATCTACTTGCTTCGGTTTTCTTACATTCTTTCACCAAACATCAGTGGTTTGTGATTTAACCTAGGAACAATAGATCAGGATTGCAAACCTATGAACAGTCAGTCAGTAAAAAAATTGTTAATTTTTTATCCTTACATTTTCCAAAAGTGTCATTCAGTAATATGAAATTAGGCAAAGTCGTTAAAAAAATCCTTTCATTCTTTCCGTTTTAAAGGTGTCATTCGATATTACATACACCGCTTCCGTTTTCACTCGAAACACTCGGCGATTATTACTAATCCGAAAAGTTGAGATTTGTTCCGTTATCGGAATACCCCGCCTATTATCATTGACATACATTGTAAGTGGCGGCGCCCGACTAGAACTGACACTGAAAATTTCATTGATAGGTATAGAATTCTATATATTTTTTAATTGTTTTTTATTTGATTTTCTTTTAAATATTCACATGTAGTCTATAGCCGGGCAAGCCAAAGACCGGACCAACTTCGCGGGCCCAGTCTTTGACTTCCCCGTATTATATGTACTTCTTGTTTTCACCTGAGACACTTTGGTGATTTAGATTATTGTTCACCCAAAAAGTTGTGATTGTTCCGTTATTGGAATATTATTATCAATGAGTTATTTTGAAAAATGGCAGAGCCCAACTAGGTATGATGGCACAGGCTAAAATGCAGACCCTTATGCAGACAATATAGGATATATAGTAAAACACAGACAATATAGATATAGAGTGTTTTCACAAAACGCAGACAATATCGAATAAGAAGGTGTAAATTAACTTGAAAGCCAATGGATAAGCATATTGTTTAAGGATATATTGGTTATGTTATTGGCATGTCAATGATATTTTTTTTCAATTTTCAAAAAAACCTGTGTCTTTCTGAAGAGGAAATGTAGCAAAATAAATCAGAAAAGTGGGAAAACCTGAAATCAAATTGCAACATCTGAGAATGGAATTTACTGTACCCACACATTTTATAAAATTTTCAATTTAAATTCAATTTAACATGCATGCTACATAAAAGAGGCTAACTATAGAGACAGCTTTCTGTCTTTCAGTCAATTAAATTTGTACATTTGTATTTCCAGGTTTATGCTTACATCAGAGGTGAACATCATGTGGCATTTATAGAAGTATGTTAAAACAAGGTGTGGTATCAGAGAAAATCTCAGATCTCACTTCCATGAATCAACTGCCACCATTAGGGTAAGTAATTTATCTGATTAATTTGAATAAAGCAAAGCCTTAGAATGGACATTATAAAAGAATTTACATAATTAAAAAACTTTACACTAACTATATAAACTTATTAATCAAATTTACATGTGTAGATTAAGAAATCCTCCATAGAATGTGAACTTGATAAGAATCCATAAATGCATTTCAGGATAATGATCTTTATGTAACCTTCCAAAAATGTTTAGTGAGTCCACATCTACATGTGCATTCTGCTTATTTTAATTTTTAAAAAGGTTATTAAAAAAAGAAAAAAAGAAAAACATACACAGGTAATTATATTAACTATGGCATTGCAAATATTTTTTCTGTTTATATTCATTTATTGCTTTTAATTTGCATTTGAGAATTTTGGGCTGCAGTTTATGCGGTTTATTTTATCCAACAACTTCTTGTCCGTGGATTTCACTTATTTTTCCTCCAGCTCAACTCCTCAAGCAAATGCTTTGTCTTCTTTCCCAGTAAACTACTTCCAGCCAAAATTTTTAAAACTCTCTTAGAATCATCTTTTGAACATATTTGAGTTACTGAAGGCATGCTCTTTTAGCTTACAATCTTAGTGTATATTACAGAGAAAGCTGTCTGATTAATTTTAGGTTTTATTTAATAATTTCAAAACATTTTGTTTCAGAACGTTGCCGCAATGGTCACGAGTAAACACATTAAACAGAGGGAGTTACCCGAAACCTTTCACAAAAGACAAGTTAATGGTATGAAGATAAAAATTAACTCATTTTGAATTTTTTAAAAATTGTCTTAGAAATATAAGGGGTACAGTCTTTGAATTTTTAACACAAGATTTTTTTATGTGTGTATTTGTAATATATGAGTTCTGAGATTTTTAACAATGTTTTATTTGAAGAAGATTCGAAGAAAATTATAACTCAAGTCTTTTATGTTTAATATTTTTATGCCATCAGAAAATTTTCTGTGACTGTTATTCAGATTGGGCATTTCATTCAGCTTATAATTCGTCATATCATTACTTCAAACTTACCTGAGCAGTGTTTGATTTGTAACAGTAATACTTTCTTTTCTAGTTTATATTGACCGGGCATATTTTTTTATTTATATGTGGCTCTTGTTTATCCAGAAAAAAAAACTTAAGCTGGTTCATTTTGACCCGGTATAATTACATGGCCTTTTATTTATCAAGAAAAACTTACCTTGAATTTTTCATTTTGAATTGGCATAATTACCTGGCCTTTTATTTATCCAGAAAAAACTTAACTTAAACACAAGTATTTCAGCATTAAACTTTTATGATTTACGTTTTCTCCAGCAGCCAGTAGCTGACAAGGTTGGTGACGAGGATGATAGAACGGTGGACTTGTCCGAGTTAAATCCTGCACAGAGGATACATCATCTAGAGCGGAGCATTATGTTTCTTAAACAGCAACATGCTGAGGTGCTAAAATCACTACATGAAGAAATAGATAGTCTGAAAAAAGAAAATAAAGGTGAGTATTCTGAACATATCTTAGACCTGTTAAACGATATTTTGGTAGAAAAAAACCCAGAAAAAAGCCAGTAACAGAATTGTTTTAAAAATGCTGTAAAGTATAAAAAGATTCATAAAAACTGATTTTTGACCTTATAAAACAGAGGCCTATAAATTTTTTCTTTTAAATCATGTAGTTTTCCCAAAATCTGAACTTACTTCTGCTTTTTTACTTCCCAAATTAGCAATGTTAGTGGCATTTTTTCCCAAAATCAAGAGGTTAAGGCCTTTTTCCAATTAAGTGTGAAAAACCTCTGAAAAAGTCAGATATTTTCACACTTTTCTGTTTGAAACCTATGATTAAAACAACTCACAAAAAATAATTAGAGCAATGCTGAGTTAACTGTGTATTTTAAAGGAACTCCACTGAGGTCTAAAAGCCTAAAAACATAAAATTTGAATTTTTACATAGATCAGCTGGGGCACTGAAAACAGAAAGATATGCAAAAGATAATAAAGAAATATACTCAGAAATAAACTGAAAATCATATTCTTGAGAGTTCTTTGTCAAATTTTAGTGAAAAGTAGTGAAAAGCGTTGCAACGCTTTTTCAATTTAGGGTCATTTTTCACAATCAGAATAATCATTCTGGAAAAATGGAGTGAGCGAATGTTCTGAAATTTTGTACATAATTTATTCTCCCATACCTACATGAAATAGAATATTAATATCAATGCTATATTTTCTGTTCCGTCTGTTTCACATTAAACTGGAATACTTGTTAAGTCTTTACATATTTGAATTAAACCATAAATCGTCTTTTTTGTTCTAATACTAACAAATATCACATAATTATTGTTGGGGTCTGAATCATGAATATCCAAGTAAGCATTACAGCCCTGGTTCAGGCACACTAACTGTTCATCATATCATCTATAGACTGATATTATACATGCAGGTTTTTTGTGCCCCCACTTTAGTGGCGGGCATTTAGATTTACCCTTGTCCGTCCTTCCGTCCGTCCTTCCGTCCGTCCGTCCTCTTTTGTGTCGCACGTAACTCAAAAAGTATTTGACCTAGAGTCATGAAACTTTACAGGATTGAATGTTGATCAGCATGTGTAGTTGTGCACCTGGGTATTTTCGTCTGGATATTTTTAGTATTTTTAGAGTTATTGCCCTTGACTTAGTAAAACTTTGCATTTTTCAACTTGTGTCGCATGTAACTCAAAAAGTATTTGACCTATCTTTTATTTATATTTATATATATATTATATATATTTCACAGATTTACAGTTTAAGATAGTGATGAGTCAGAAACAGCAACAACAACAACATACTCCGCAACATCATCATGCTGGTGGAAGTGCTAGTAGTCGTAGAAGTCGTACTGGTAAAGATAGATTGTTGGAGAAAGGTAATTTTATAGATTTTTGACGCTTAGGACTTGTCCCAACCGTTTATGACGTGCTCTGATTTTTTTTCTAAAGAAACTATGCTTTGGCCAGTATTTTTAAATTTTAAGACTTATGCTAAGGCTAAGTAATTAGGTTTTAATTTTTATGCTCCCCGAAAAATTTCGGGGGAGCATATAGTCGGCGCCTTGTCCGTCTGTCCGTCCGTCCGTCTGTCCGTCTGTCCGTCCGTTGTCTTGTCCGGAGCATAACTTGAAAACCCTTGGAGATAATTTGTTGAAACTTCATACAGTGGTAGAGGGCATCGAGGGGGAGTGCAGTGTCAAAGAACCATAACTCTATTTTGCCTGGTTTTTGAATTATCTCCCCTTATAGAAAAATCTTGTCCGGGGCATAACTCTAAAACTATAAGAGATATCAACATGAAACTTTGTAGGTGAATAGATCTCAATGGGTAGATGTGCAGTGCATAAGAACAATAACTCTTTTCATCCTAATTTTGGAGTTATTGCCCTTTGTTAATTTTAATACTTTGAACTTTGTCCGGAACATAACTTGAAAACCCTTGGAGATAATTTGTTGAAACTTCATACAGTGGTAGAGGGCATCGAGGGGGAGTGCAGTGTCAAAGAACCATAACTCTATTTTGCCTGGTTTTTGAATTATCTCCCCTTATAGAAAAATCTTGTCCCGGGCATAACTCTAAAACTATAAGAGATATCAACATGAAACATTGTAGGTAGATAGATCTCATTGAGTAGAGGTGCAGTGCAAAAGAACCATAACTCTGTTAAGCCTTATTTTTGAATAATCTCCCCTTTTAGAAAAATCTTGTCCAGGACATAGCTGTAAAACTATAAGAGATATCAACATGAAACTTTGTAGGTAGATAAATCTCAATGGTGAGATATGCAGTGCACAAGAATCATATCTCTACCTTGCCTAATTCTGGAGTTATTGCCCTTTGTTTATTTTTACTTTTTGAATTGTCCAGGACATAACTCGGAAATCATAAGAGATATCATCAAGAAACTTTGTAGGTTGATAGATCACATTGATTAGAAGTGCAGTTCAAAGAACTGTAACTCTGCCTTGCCTAATTTTGGAATTATTGCACTTGAACTTTTTCCACGGACATAACTCTGAAACTACAAGAGGTGTACTATCCTGTGTCCAAAACCTATTCGGGGAGCATCACCCGGCTCAAACCGGGCTCTTGTTTTTATTAGAAATCTTTTTTTTTTCATTGGGCTTAAAGATCCTATATATTGTAATTAAGCATGTAACAAGTGTGTGTGTTTGGTTTGTTTACCCTCGCCACTTGAATAAGCCATATACATGGGCAATAAATGTAGTACTGTACAGTTAGGTAATTTAATATATTTATATAATTATTCTTCTAAAACAATTTCCAAACAAATATGTTAAATATGTACAGCAAATGTTTATGTACATTACAATTAAACAATAAAATTAATGCATTAATTTTTTATTGAAAAAAGTGGCTTAGACTTTATTGAAAATAAATTTCTAATTGCCTCCCTTTATTTACATGAAATGTTAAATTCGGTAATATCTTTACAAATACATGTAATGCTTTTTGAAACTTACAATATTGATTAATCTTCATATGAGCATTAGATTTATAATATAAAACCATGAAGAAAATTGTGTGACAGGGTCTTGAAAGGAGCTCAACTGTTGAATTCAAAATTGAAATATATTTTAAAAAAATTATGTAGAAATATATTCAGGTTTAAATTGAAAATAAATTTTTTGTGTGTTTAAGGCAGATTTTAGTGGAACTGATATATACTCTTTATTTTTTAAAACATTAGTAAATTTTAAGTTATATCTCTGTAGAAACATTCTTCCTTATAAATTCATTCTAGTAGAGATCAGATCAAATTGTTTTAGTTATAATTTGTATATTTATTCATGAATTTAGATATCATTTCTATTAGAGCTTTTTGTAAAAAAAAATCCGAAATCTTGATTCAGTTGGCTAATTTTCAGAATCCTCATCTTTGTCTATACATTCTGGGACTTACTACAACTTTTCAAAGACTCTTGAAAGTTCATCTAGAGGTTTGTTAACGTCACATTTAGAGTGGTTGCTAGGCTACACATGAGCCTCGTCACGACAAAACCAACATAATGGGTTTGCGACCAGCATGGATCCAGACCAGCCTGCGCATCCGCACAGTCTGATCAGGATCCATGCTGTTCGCTTACCAACCCTATAACAAGTAGTGAAACTGATAGCAAACAGCAGATGCGCAGGCTGGTCTGGATCCATGCTGGTCGCAAACCCATTATGCTCCCCGAAAAATTTCGGGGGAGCATATAGTCGGCGCCTTGTCCGTCTGTCCGTCCGTCCGTCTGTCCGTCCGTTGTCTTGTCCGGAGCATAACTTGAAAACCCTTGGAGATAATTTGTTGAAACTTCATACAGTGGTAGAGGGCATCGAGGGGGAGTGCAGTGTCAAAGAACCATAACTCTATTTTGCCTGGTTTTTGAATTATCTCCCCTTATAGAAAAATCTTGTCCGGGGCATAACTCTAAAACTATAAGAGATATCAACATGAAACTTTGTAGGTGAATAGATCTCAATGGGTAGATGTGCAGTGCATAAGAACAATAACTCTTTTCATTTCTAATTTTGGAGTTATTGCCCTTTGTTAATTTTAATACTTTGAACTTTGTCCGGAACATAACTTGAAAAACCCTTGGAGATAATTTGTTGAAACTTTATACAGTGGTAGAGGGCATTGAGGGGGGTGCAGTGTCAAAGAACCATAACTCTATTTTGCCTGGTTTTTGAATTATCTCCCCTTATAGAAAAATCTTGTCCGGGGCATAACTCTAAAAACTATAAGAGATATCAACATGAAACTTTGTAGGTGAATAGATCTCAATGGGTAGATGTGCAGTGCATAAGAAACAATAACTCTTTTCATCCTAATTTTGGAAGTTTATTGCCCTTTGTTAATTTTAATACTTTGAACTTTGTCCGGAACATAACTTGAAAACCCTTGGAGATAATTTGTTTGAAACTTCATACAGTGGTAGAGGGCATTGAGGGGGGTGCAGTGTCAAAGAACCATAACTCTATTTTGCCTGTTTTTTGAATTATCTCCCCTTATAGAAAATCTTGTCCGGGGCATAACTCTAAAACTATAAGAGATATCAACATGAAACTTTGTAGGTGAATAGATCTCAATGCGTAGATGTGCAGTGCATAAGAACAATAACTCTTTTTGTCCTAATTTTGGAGTTATTGCCCTTTGTTTATTTTAATACTTTGAACTTGAACTTTGTCCGGAACATAACTTGAAAACTCCTTGGAGATAATTTGTTGAAACTTCATACAGTGGTAGAGGGCATCAAGGGGAGTGCAGTGTCAAAGAACCATAACTCTATTTTGCCTGGTTTTTTTGAATTATCTCCCTTATAGAAAATCTTGTCCGGGCATAACTCTAAAACTATAAGAGATATCAACATGAAACATTGTAGGTAGATAGATCTCATTGAGTAGGAGGTGCAGTGCAAAAAGAACCATAACTCTGTTTTAAGCCTTATTTTTGAATAATCTCCCCTTTTAGAAAAAATCTTGTCCAGGACATAGCTGTAAAACTATAAGAGATATCAACATGAAACTTTGTAGGTAGATAAATCTCAATGGGGTAGATGTGCAGTGCACAAAGAATCATAACTCTACCTTGCCTAATTCTGGAGTTATTGCCCTTTGTTTATTTTTTACTTTTTGAATTGTCCAGGACATAACTCGGAAATCATAAGAGATATCATCAAGAAACTTTTGTAGGTTGATAGCATCACATTGATTAGAAGTGCAGTGCAAAGAACTGTAACTCTGCCTTGCCTAATTTTAGAATTATTGCACTTTGAACTTTTTCCACGGACATAACTCTGAAACTACAAGAGGTGTACTTTCCTGTGTCCAAAACCTATTCGGGGAGCATCACCCGGCTCAAACCGGGCTCTTGTGTTGGTTTTGTTGTGACGCGGCTCACATTTTGTTGCTAGACTGATTCACTATTAGTCTATGGTAGCTAAGGACTGTGTGGTATTGTTAGATTAAGACGTCAAGTACATGTATTTAAATTTTTTTTTAAAAAATCCATTTAGCATAAATCACTGTGTTTTGAAATAGCTAGACACATTTTCAGCTAACAGCAGTGTCTATTCTAGGATTTGCAAAACAGAGTGGATTTTTATTGAAAAAAAAATTAAAAAATTCCATTTAGACTTAATCACTGTGTTTTGAAAAAGCTAGACACATTTTCAACACAGTGTCTATTCTAGGATTTGCAAAACAGGGGGATTTTTATTGAAAAATGAGAATTTTCTACATTTGTTGATCTTTTTCCTTCTTTCTCTGCGTAAATTCTTTTTTATACTCTGAAAAAATAGGGGGGGGGGGGGAAATTCTCAAAAATATGAGTGTGAATCCCCCATCTGCCCTCCTCCTAGGATAGACACTGTTAACATAAATGTACTTTTAATTAATCAGATACAGGATAAGAATAAATTTTCCAATATTCATTATTTTTGAAATTTCTTGAATAAGAGTAAAAATCCTTATCTTTATTACCGTATTTTCAAAATTTATTCAATGAAAATATGATAGATATTTCATTAGTCATTATTTTCATTAATTGAACTAGAATAACAATTAGAATAAATACGGTACATGTATTCTAATATTTGTTATTTTCAAAACTTAAACTTATGGGACAAGAATATTGATCACCTTGTATTTGTTAAAGCTTAGGAGTTTTATTCTGGAGTCTGTATCTGTTAAATGAGCTTTTGAAGTATACATGTATCATGCAAATTGAATTGGTTACAGAAAGTACAAATGTACATAAACAGGAATAGAGTGAAAATGTGTCTAGAATGTGTTCAAATTGAGAGGGGTTTTGTCAGTAATTGAACAGCACAATTATTGCACTGGCAAAGTAGATGTAGTTAAATTTTACTGGTATTTAAATAGTCATATTGCACCATTGCAATTTATATAACACGAAACTAACAAAATGGGAAGTTGATATTGATTATAAAAGAGCAAAGAAAGTGATTGTGCAATACATTTTTTTGAAAGTCATCTGATTAAACTTCTTGGTATAATATTTGGGAATATATATAATTTTGTGCATGTTTTAGATTGAAGAAAGTCTCTTTCATTCAGACTTAAAATATGCTTAACTTACATAGTGAATTAGTATTTTGTTTGGAAGTCAGAATAGTACATTGTAAAATACATTTTGCTACCTCAATGACAAATTATTATCTTACATTTATAGCTACTTTTTTCAGGTAACAAGCATCTAACATTTCTCTTAAACCATCATTTAATCATTATAAAATTCATGTTTTCCCTTCTAAAGAAGTAAAAGGTTTATTTGAGCCGCATCATAACAAAACCAATATTGTGCGTTTGCGACCAGCATGGATCCAGACTAGCCTGCGCATCCGCGCAGTCTGATCAGGATCCATGCTGATCGCTGTCAGTTTCTCCACTTGTAATAGAGTTGGTAAGCGAACAGCATGGATCCTGATCAGACTGCGCGGATGCACAGGCTTGTCTGGATCCATGCTGGTTGCAAACACATTACGTGGGTTTTGTCGTGACACGGCTCATTTGTTGTTGAGGCATAATGTACCTTTAAGCTGAGATTAGAGATTTGAATTTTATAACTTTGTTCTGAATTTGCAACTATATTTTAATTGAAAAGGAATGGTTAGTAAACATTTAATTTTAAGGTCTGGAATCATTATTTTGTTGCCTTACATGTAATTATAGTTGAAAGGGGGTAAGTTGTGGTTAAATACAAAATATAGTTAAGGTGTCTGCCATCCCAGGTATTATGGGTTCGAGCCCTACTGCGATGCCAACTATGTTTCCTCACATGACACTAGTCATGAATCCAGGAATTTCATTGGTCAGAGTAGATTCTGTGTTGTTTTCTAACCAATCAAATGTCTGAGATCTGAGAGTTTGAGATTAGAATCTTTTTTTATAACCTCCGACCCAGCACTGGTTCCCAGGAAGCAGAATCATCAAGTGGTTAAAAATAGGCTATAAGCGTTCTTCACTATCAAGCTTTAATTAACAATGTTTTAAACTAAGCTTGTTCACGGTTGTTTTATATATTCTATATTCAATACATGTATTTAACCAGGATTTTGACTAAACAATCTATATATATATATACATAGTATATAATAATAAACAGATTATAATGTATTTCTAATATTATTTTCCTAGTGTGCTAGATACATGTACCTTCTGTTTTACAGGATAGAACATTTGCACAAGCGTTATATTGTTTACTTGTATGATAAATGAAATATTTGTATGATTGATGCAAATTTTGCTGCTATACATACATTAGTTTATGTCATAGGTTTTGAATTGTATTATTCATACAACAAAGTTTTCTTTAAATCAGTACCAATGGGAATTCCAGAAATATTTTGATCTAATAGCTCAGGTGGCATTTGATTACTTTTGAGATAAATACAAGAGCTCTCTTTTAGCCCGAATGGCTGGCGAAAATATTTGCTGCACCAGAATTTACTGTCAGATGCTTCCACCAAATGAAAGTCATTTGTTTCTGACACCGCTTGATTTAGAAATCATGTGGGATTAGTAGTCCCTCACTTGCGGAAAATATTCGTATTACTGGTTAGTTATAAAAAAAACTGGTTAAGTATACTGATTGCCAAAAAATGTGTGATATGTCAATGCTCAAAAATCACTCAGGATAGCATTTTACTTCTGGTCACACTCAAACTTTTTTTGGCTTCTTTAAAGTTTATAGAGAGCACATTTATAGAAATGCTTTTCAAATCATTTTCTAGGTAATATATGTATTTAGATATCAGCATATTCAAGAATTTTTTAGAAAAGGTGCCATTGCAGTATGGTAAATAAAAACGGCTTCTAAATCAAGAATATACTGAAAGATTATCAGCAGTTACTGTTTTCCAAATTAATTTGAGTGTCTATGTTTTAGAATATGCCACAAATGGGCTGTTAAAAGTGAAGCAACATAAAAGAAACAGATTAACTTAAAATTTAACTGAATTATGATTTCTTTGCATAGTAAATATTTTGACAAAAGCATGACTATTACAATTTACATGTATTACTGTAAAGGGAGAGTTCATTTTTGAAGTCATGGAACAAAGCTTTAATAGTTTGCAGTATAACTGCTGTAATTCATTTGTTAAAGAAATTGAATGCCAATATTAATGATTTGCATAATTACACTAGATATTTTGATAGCACTGACATCCCATATACCAAAAATAAACTGTTCCAACAGGTCAAGTTCATTCCACAAATTCAGGAGGGACAGGGTTTAAGATTGTCTTATTTTTCATTTATACAGAGGACAAGCTGGATGAATTAAAGATTATATTTCTCGAGGAAGAAATCAAGGAGTTGAAGCATGCACTGAGGGAGGCACGTAACCGGAACTCGTATCTTACTCAGGTCATAGAACAAAATGAGGACGTCAAGAAAAAACAGTAAGTTGCCACACTAAAACTCCTTATCAATCTATATTTAAGCAGTTAAAGCCATGTTTGCAGCCAATCCAGTCTGTAAATAAAAGGCCAGTATTTAGAAACTGTGATTAATTATTTAAAACATACTGATATCCAAGTATCTGTCATTTTAAGGGACTCAACTGAGGTTTATTTGTTAAGAATTTATGGCTTTTTATCACAGGTAGGGGAAGGGTCTTTCCCTTAAATCATGTTAAAAATGACACAGAATATTTATAGAAAGGGAAGAAAAAACTTAGTGTAAATTAAATTTAAGGGGAAACTGCAAGATTCTGAATAGAAAGAGTCTTAAACTGGCCTCTGCCATAATAAGGAAAAAAAATCCTGTAATTTATAGGCCTTTTTGTTGAAAAAATGAGCTAAACACGTGAATATTTTAACATATATTTTATGATTTTAGACAACATACAATAGATACGATGAAGTATCAGCTGTCTCAGGGGAACGCTGCAAACCTCGCCGAACAAATTACCTCCGGTCAGAGCCTGTTCAATCTGCCCGGAGGAAGACAACCGAGTCTAGCCGAATGTGAGGCGATTATACGTAGATTACAACAAATTAATGAGCAGCAGCAGCATGAGGTATATAGGTCAAATATTGATCTTTTCCCTATTTCTCAATAAATCTTTTCCCTATTTCTCAATATTTTCCCCCCAATTCCTCAATAAAATTTTCCCCAATTCCTCAATAAATCTTTTCCCAATTCCTCAATGAACCTTTTCCCAATTTCTCATTAAATCATTTCCCAAAAGTTCACAAAAATTATACAGCTTTATGACCTTATAACAAAAGTGTTAATCAACCTGTTTAAAAAAAACAAAGCAAAAAAAAACCATAAACATGTTCATTGGTAAATATCGACCTTTTCCCTGTTTTAATTAAAATTTCCCCAAATTTCACAAAGATTGTAAAGATTTCTCCCACTGAAGTATTAATCACTTCTTTAAAGCCATATTCATTTTAAAGTTTGTATGTATGTATTATTATACCTCACATAAAATTAAGGTCTGTGACCTTAGAACTATTGTATTTTATCCTTCCTTTTCCTGTTTTTAACTGAGCAGCCCCAAAATTCTTTGCGTTAACATTTTCGATAGTTTTAATTTTCAAAATCTATTTACACAGTTGGATAACCTAAAATCAGATCTCCGTGACGTGTTATACTCACACAAGTGGACACCAGATGCCTATTTACTTGCCAAGGCTTACGTTCATGAGGAGGAACATAAAGACGATGACAAAGATAAAACTTTGCCGAAACTTCACATGAAAAACCAGGCGAGAAAACTGTAAGTATATCATAAAGGTTTTTCTATTCATAGAATGATTAATTTGGTACTTATTGAAGTGGACTTAATGTGTGTATTAATATGTTACATGTATTTGGAGGGTTTAGGAAATGTTGTTTGTCATGTAGTAATCATGTATTTCAAATATGGTTATACATATATTAAGTTATTGATTATGCATAAATATACTTTTTTTACATCCACTTTGCATTAATTTTATTATGTTGGATTTTAAGTCACATCATCCTTGCTAATGTCATGTGGCAAATTTACAGTTTTACTGGTAAAAGAAGACCTCAGGGGCCCCTTTCAGGCACAAGCAGGCACCTGAGTTGAACCACTTAACCTTCTTAAAGTCACATTAGATTTAATCTTGTGTTTATTAGTAAGTTAAACATTTGTACGGGGAATTATGTACTGTCATTTCTTATAAGTTATAACTGTATCATAGATTTTAAAATTGAGAAATCCTTTCATTTAACTATCTTTATTAACATATATTTAATACAGGACAACAATTGATATAGAATCTCAAATAATTGAGTAAGTTTTACAACTCTATGCAACTCCTTTTTTTACAAAGAGCCGCGTCATGACAAAACCAACATAATGGGTTTGCGACCAGCATAGATCCAGACCAGACTGCGCGGAATGATCAGGATCCATGCTGTTCGCTTACCAACCCTATTACAAGTAGAGAAACTGGTAGCGAACAGTATGGATCCTGATCAGACTGCACGGATGCGCAGGCTGGTCTGGATCCATGCTGGTTGCAAACCCATTATGTTGGTTTTGTCGTGACGCGGCTCAAATTTGTTATCTCCGAACACATGATAGGATAGCATGCACATATCGGTACATTTCTAAGACCTCCAGAACTAAATATTTGGCATAATTATATTTCATTTTGCATGTGCTTCACCTGACTTAACATTGGAAGACAAGAGGCTATGAATGATTTTGTTGCATTATTTTTACATTGTTTGGAAATCAAGTTTTGAAACCAGTTGCGCGACTTTGACAAGGTCTGTTCCTGTGATTTTAATGACGGTAAATCATAGTGATGCACTGTTTATAGCATGATAATAAATAAATAACACATAGGTTTGTGGGTAACAATATCATCCTGGGGAAAATAACGCCTCAGGTAACTGTATTTTTACAAGGGATGATATTTTTGATATTACTCACAAATCCATGTTTTATTTATTTTATTACCATGAACAAGAACTTGATCGGGACACTGTTTCTATAGGTTTTTTTATTTTTAAGATTTTTTACTGTGAAAAATACTGTTTCCTATGCAGCAGTACAAAAATTTTAGTCACATGGTAAACTTGAATGAGCATAAGAATAACTCCTATTGGCCTATGGGAAATTAACATTATAAAAATAATGAGGAGTAATAATAAAAGCTCTCCCAACAAAAAAAAAGGACTGTTGTATACTGAAAGTAAGATGAAAATTTTTCAGGGAAAATTTTACCTTATTAATTAATTACGGAAACCGAAAATGAAAAAGTTTTGGCCTTAAACTTTCATGAAAGGTCTTTTTCAATTCAGAATTTGAGGCGTTACTGCTTAACTAGTCTATATTTAGATATTACAAAAAGAAGACAGATGTAATTCTTCTTGTACTAATCCTATAAAATTTAATGGTAATACCAAAAAAGGTTAATCTGTATGTGTAGTTAATCCTTGTCCTACTTGGCACAGGTTAAAGGTTTTTTACAAGTACAGTATATAATAAGTTCACATATTGCGCAATTCAATATCGAGAGACATTTTTTGAACTTCTATTTAATCCATTTTGAGAGAAAACCTTCCTGCTTAATTTAATATTTTACACTTTGATTCCATTTTTAAGTTTTTTTTGTTTTTTTAATTAAGTGGTTTATAAAAAAAAACGAAGTACAAATACAGTCTTTGTTTTAATTTGAATTGTAATTATTTTGACATTAAGAGAACTGTTATATAATTTTATGCGAAAAGTGTGTTTGGTGTATTATTACATGTAGATACAAAGATTTTTTGACAGGTTACATGTATATGGCCCTGTAAAGCTGTTAGTCTGTGTTACCAAAGATGATATTAAGCAATGGTTATATAGCAAACAAGCAAATGGCCATATAACCTGTCAAACTTCTATAACAAATTCATGATACTTCAAAGTTCCTTCCTTTGATACAGATAAAAATATCAAAGATTTGCAGCGACCAATTGTATAGATAATATAAAAAGTACAGTCACAATTGACCAATGAAAATTGATGTTACAAACATGCAATTCTAAATATTTTTAAATTCACGAGAAAACATTTTCCTTAGTTCCGAGTATTAACTGGTTTCATAACTTGATTCACACATTGGTTGATGGTTTTATTTATATGGTGAAGGTTTATTTCCTTTAATAACCATTAGGTAATAGGTCCATTTTAACTTCTTGATTTACAATTGATATGGTTTAAAGATCATCAAGAGGTGATAAAAGCAATACATGTATATGATTTACATATTGAATTTTATTTTTATGAGCCAAAGTAACTGCTCAGATTATGTTTTTAACCATGGAGATATTTGATTTTAAATTTATTTATAATAGTCAATTAAAGAAGTGCATTTGCCATAGACCATTTATTAACAAATATTATCTGCCTGCCAAATGACTATAGATTGCATGAACATGCTTCCACATTGATGTATAACAGTGTATGATTTTTACTGAAGCTCATCAGAGTTGTTTCCCTTTATTTGTCAAATATTTATGAAACTATCCTTGTCAAATCTGTAAATACAATTTACATGTTTAAACAAATATTATATTGTTGGCTGACCAACAAGGAATTTTCATCCTGATATCCCCAAAAATGTTAATGGAGAGTTCTGAAATGGAAGCTGGACAAGTCCATTTTTAAAAAATTCTGCACGTAAGGGTTAAGAATGTACAGTCCATAATTCAACAATCATAACAAGTAGTAGTATACAATTTTATATTGTAAGTAATGAATTGATAAACTATAGTGTGTAGTATAAAAAAAAAGATATTACATAAGTGTAATAACAATGTAACATGATGTCATTTGCATTGTACAGACATAGTGTAAAAGTGCGCCGATGTAAGCATTACACTATAGGTGCATCAGTAAAAAATTACTCTTTTCTGCTGTAAACCACCCAGGATTTCGGATATGTGATATTATATTTGTTGAATATCATAATTGTGTTTATTCAATATTATATTTGTGGAATATTATATTCGTGTAGATTTGATAATAATATTATGCTCGCCAGAGGCTGGAATAGTATGATTTTACTCAACGAGTGCAATAACTTTAGTATTGAACCTACACTCATGCAATATCTTCTATATTTCTTTAGCAATATAGTCATGCGACTTATATATATTATACTATATATATTTACAGCCCAGAGATAGCTTACATTCAGAGAGATATGGTGAACCTGCCTGCACTTAAACAGACTGTAAGTAATAAGGCAGTAGAGCGAAAGAAACGGACCCAGATCCTACAGAAAGCCAGATTGAAAAAAGAAGTTATGCAGTAAAAAACCCCAGTGACATAACTAGTTTTTCTTAGTCATTTTTTTTTCTAATTAAACTGTTCACTGTTTTTTTGCCAGTATGGCATACATGTTTTCTGTAAGACTGTACATTTGAATTAAAAGAGATATTTTAATTACTTATATTAAGTCTTCATTATTTTTAAAGGCCCATTGTGCCTCAGAATCATTTTCATTTCTCAAAAAATGTTAATTTTTGGTATCTTGTTACAGTTTCTAAAACCATACTCATTGGCTGTATATGTATACAGGAACACTTTTTGCTTCTTTAGTTCTGTTGGCAATTGGTATAATTATAGTGAATTACATGTAGTATTTTGTATGGAACTATGGAATACAACTTTCATTACATTTTGCTACCTTCACGACACATAACTGCATGTTCAGCGTTACTTAAATAAAATATCAGTTGTAAAACATGTAACATGCACTAAATCCATTATTTAAACATTATTGAACGCGTGTTTGTCATCTCTATAGAATTATAAAAAATGTACATTTCTGAGGCATAATGCACCTTTAACCATTCTTTAAAGTCATTTTTTGGTGTTATAACTCTTTGTTCTAACTCAGTCAGTAATATTATTCAAAGAATCTTAATCAAGGTCACAAACAAAATGCTAATCCCTGAAAGTTCTCATCGGCGTCTGATAATTTGTTATTTACTTCTTTTCCATGTTAAAGCATTCTTTTATAGTCAGTATGTGGTAAATCTAAATTTTTGATCAACGACATGCACTATGTACTTAAACTTTTTACCGTACAATGTATAATTTTCAACATTTATATTATTTCTTAGGTTGTACTCGTATTTTTTTTAAAGCAGTTCATCTGCAGATGTGACTTAGAGAAATTGAAAATACAAATTGTATTTTATTAAAGAAAAAAAAACATAGCCTTGATCGGCTAAAAATGGCTGACAGGGTTGTAAATTATATGCATCAGGGTCTTTCAAATAGAATGTGAAAGTCACCCGGATTAAATTAATTGGAATAAAAGGGCCCTTTAAAGTATGTTTTATAAAGGTGGAAAAATTTAAGGAAAAATTTAGGGTCAGTTCCTGTCATAGAAATCAAATATATTAAATGTAAAAAAAGAATTTCCCGGTGTTTGGGAAACGTTTAAAACAGTTTTTTTTTCATAAAGCCCCAATTCTGACCTGTGATACTTGTTCTTTGATGTTTTAATCTTTTTTAATTTTATGTACTTATTGAATTTGTTATGCATTTTTATTTTGGTCAGGTGAATTATATTTTCTTTGTCAAAGTCACTGTTAGTTATTGCCATTTGTGATTAGCCTTATGTCTGTTATATAAGTACAGTTGTTAGAATAGATCTCCGGAAACTTGTCTCTTTAATGTATTTTCGTAGATATAAGTATTAACTAAACAGTTTTGAAATTTATGAATATTTTATTTGATATACTGGGCAGGAACCAGTTTCCGGACAGAATTCGAGTTTTTTTAATTGTCTATTTTTTAATAATAAACATGCATTAATAAAACTAACATACCAAAAACCTGAGCTCTAACTACGTCCGATAACACAATTAATACTGCCTGGTTACGTAAGCAATGTACAAACTGAAGGGTTTAATTAGGTCATCAAAAGTGTAAATTGTTCACTCTTGCAGTACCAGTTTCCGGACATATATTAAGCTGCTATTCATATCTGTTTTTAACTGATAATTAGTCTAATATAACAAAAAAATTCTTCTCACATATTAGCTTTCTTATATAATTAAGCTGATTTACTGAAAAATGTTTATGATAGGAAAAAGAACGATCACCTGATTGGTCTCGGAATGACTGAAATATGAAACAGATATTTTTGTGTGTACGGCAGCAACGAAGTGCGAAAGTGTAGTAAACCTAGCTAATCATCGTTTTCCGATACGTTACAGATTTAGCTCTGGGGAATTGCACCCAATGAACTTCGAATGAAGTACATTGTGTATTAATTGCTACCCCAAATTATATCCCGAAATAAACAAAATATTGCGCATGCGCAGAACAAATTACATGCCCCAAAGGGATATAAGGCTGTTTTTAAAACACAGGTAAGATATCCTCATGAAATTTTAATGATGAATCAACTTGGAAGGATGTTTATTTTCTCAAACAATCAAACCAAGCATCTTCATGACGTAATTAATACCGATCATCATCGATAAAGCCAAAATTAAGCCGTTATAATACTTGTCCGGAAACTGGTATTGTCCGGAAACTGGTTCCTGCCCAGTATGCTATCACATTTTGAATTTTTTTAAATATTTTTATTTAAGATAAGCATGTCTTTAAAATTTTTGTTAAAATCTTTTGAAACTGAATATTAAGTTTTGATATAAGCTTACTTTATATTGCAGCATTTTATGCATATTTTTGTTATATATAAAATGTATGGATTTATTTTTATTGTTGATTAATTGTATCTTTATTGTATAATCCACCAATGTTTTTTTTGAGGGAAGTGTTTTTAATTGTTAACCTAAAAAAATGTTTGATGTCACAGGAGAGTTTGATGTCACAAGATTTAAGCCAAGATTTCAAGAAACAACTCTTAAGTGATTATATTATAAAAGTTTTTGTGACAGATTTAAGATCAAAATTTGAGATTTTCATGTTTAAGATTTGAGATCATATATGAACGCCGGAATGAGAAAACAACCCTTAGGTAATGTCATTTTACAAATGATGTGAAGACGTTGACTTCAAACCACTTGCCCCTCACCGCTGTGGGTTCGAATCCCGACAGGGACTTTGGATTCTTTCATGTGAAGAAGCTATCCAGCTAGCTTACGGAACGTCGGTGGTTCTACTCAGGTGCCCGTTCGTGCCTGAAATAATGCACGGAAGGGCACCTGAGGTCTTCCTCCACCAGTAAAGCTGGAACGTCGCGATATGACCAATGCTGTGTCGATGTGACGTAAAACCCAAAAAACAAACAAAAAAACAAATGATGTGAAAAGACATTAAAGTTGTCATTGATGTTAAGACTAAAAGAGTTAATTACCCTTGAAATGTTACCCAGATAGATATTCATAGGTAACAATTAGCAAATTTCAAAAGTTTTTAAAAAATTATGTTCCTTATTAAAAATCAAAATAATTCTATATTCCATGATAATGCACTGATTTATAAATGAATGTACTTTACATAGATATTATTCAAAATGATAAAACAGTGTTCAACATTTCTCATAATACTACACATTGTTTTGTATCACATATATCCTCGATTTTAAGTAATTTTCAAATTATTTATTGATCAGTGATGACTCCAAAATCAATATATATAACACAAAGGTTTGTGAGTAACTGTAAAAAATATCATCCAAAGGAAAATACTGTTTCCCTTGGCTCACACCTCCGTTAATATTATTTCTTTGAGAGATGTTTTCTTTGCTGTTTATCACAAACTTATGAATGTGTTGTTTCATTACCTATGTATCAGTACAAAAATTTCAGTCGCATTGTACACTTGAATTCACAGTAAGAATAACTCCCATTGGCCTATGGGAACATACAAAAATAGTGAGGGGTATTACTATATAATGTCACATACGTGTATGTAAATGATCTTTAACAAGTTGTCATTTTAACCCTTTCCTTTACAAAAGCTATGTTTACTTATTACTCCAAATATGTGTATTAAACAAATCTAGGAAATTCTGGTACATGCGGCAAGCTTTTCACATTTTGCAGAAGATTTCAATTTAAATCTTTAATAAATAACAAATCATTTTCGATTTTTATGATATTATAAATCCAGAAAATGTTTAAAAATTGCACCTTTTGAGTGGCCATTTATGAGTCTTATTCATATACAATACATGAATATATTTGGATTAGTGGAGAATGGCCACTCATCCATAATTGATTTCTCAAGCTGTATATATGAGTCTAAATAAATCCCATTCATATAATGTAATATTAGTTAATACAATGTATTTGCTGTGATTCAATACAACAAATTATATATGCAAATTGTTCTGTTTAGACGAAAGCAATTACTATTTATTTATAACTTCTGTTCGGATATATGTACATATGTAATGAGTTGTATAACTTTTCCTGGCCAAATCCTTAATTGTAATGTATTGTATGCAAAGATTTTAAAATAAGTTAAATGTGTTTAAAGGAATAAGATTTGTAATTGACTTTTATAAATATACATACATTTTAACTCTTTCATGTACAAGAAATCACATATACTACATAAACTGACATTATGGACAGCTGTAAAAAATATGGGGGCATTACTTTGGAAAATAAATTTAGGATTATCTGCCCTTTTGAAATGGTTTCACATTTTTAAAGTGAACATATATAACAAGTAAATTGGAATAGCTTCGAGAGTTTAAGTTTCTGAGAAAATGAACCTAAACATAAGTAAATTACAAAATGCAGACAATGGGCTATGACATTCATGCCATATCGTCCCGGACGTCCGGGACTATCCCAGAAATCAGGTGACTGTCCCGAAGCCTTTGACAGTAGCTCAACATTTATTCATAGAAAAGTGGAGCTACAAATGACAAGGTCACTTTTCATATTCAGCTAAGTCAAGTATTAAAATATTGTTTATTTAAGTGGCATTTCTGAAAAAAAAAAAAATCAGGGCGGGCAGCGAAAGTCCATGGTATGAAATTAAACAAGTCAAGTGTATGGGTTATATTCTGTCTCGGAGAACTGTTCTCTTCGTAGAAAATGAGCAGTTCATCAAATAGGATGGTGCTTTGTAAATAAACAATATCAAAAGAGTAGAAGTTGTAATTGTAGGTCAAATTATTTAGCCAGATAATTATAATGTGTGCAATTTGTTTTTTTTTTTTTTATTTTTTTTTTTTTCATAACTAATTATTAGATATTGAAAATACTAGAAGCTTTGTTTTAAATGTAAATGTTGATTGTGCAGAAGGCGTATGTGTTATGTAATTGATGCTAATAAGAAAAAATTTAAGATGATTTAAAAAAGCAGTGATGTAAAAGCAACTATAGGGACTTTTAATCTTTTTGTTATTTTTAAAATTCAGTCTAGATATACAAGAACCGTTGCGGCTTGCCCTTGAGTTAAGCTATCATAGTTCAAATGGATGGTGTGTTCTTACAATACAAGCAAATCTGTACGGCGGGTGAAATTCGTGGGGCCTAATTTTTGTGTTTTTTTTTAATATGCACTTATTGTGGTGACTTAAATTCGTGGCATACTGAATATATTCGCAGTTTTAAATTCAGATTAGCAGCCACTGACGTTTTCACGACGATCAAAATGAATTACGTTGGCATAAAACTTGCGACTTTCCATGTTGAACTGTCTTACGGAATGTCAGTATATGAAAGTTAACAATCGGTGTTTGAAAGCCTATAATGAAAAAAGCGTTTGCTATGGCTGGAATAGAATGGAATAAACAGTGTGATTGTTTGAATAAACTGTTTATTATCAAAAGTAAATCTGTACATGCAAAACATATATGATATGAAACATTTGTTTTTGATAGTTGATATTGGTTATTGTATTCCAAAGTTATTTACAACGTACTCTGCCTTGATATCTAACTATGCCTGTTGCCTAAGTGGCAAATATTCGCAGGTGTTTTGATTTCGCGGTTGATTGAAAACCGGGAATATAGCGAAAAATATTTAAAACACCCGTGAATATTACCCGCTGTACAGTATTCACAGTAGATCACAATGTTTTTGAACATGGTAATTTTCAGTCAATTTTTAAGCCATTTTTATTAGTGTCTAATGTATTAACTTACTTGTTTTCCTACTTTTAGTAGGCAGATGTAGTGTTTGTTTTTATCCAGGAAGACACAGTTTAATGAATAGTTACATAAGGCAGTTTATGCAAAAAAAAAATTTTCAGAAATTTTCAAGTTCAGGCATTTTCATTTGCAGAAAAAGTAGGGCAAAGACTTCACTAAATTATAGTTATTATAAGTGCATTGTATTTTTTTATGTGTAAACAGTACATGTATATATTATCTCCTAAAGTTTACTTTGTTATGTTCACAGTTTGGTTTTGTTTTGAGATAGATTTTTTGTCAAGATTTTAAAATCAGTTCCATCTTTTAGGGTTTTTTTTTATCCAAAAAGATATTTTTCCAACTGTAGGAGATTTAAAATTCATTTGGAACCTTTTTGTGGCATTAATTCTGTTTTGTCTTTTTTCTCGTAGGCTTCACTGTTAAATTAATATTATGAATTTTAGCATCAATTTCCGGACCAGTTTCTGTGCATTTATAATTTATTAGTTTATAAGCCAGTTAGTACAAGTAGCAAAAGCTTCTTTGACTCACTTCAGTTGTTGAAGTAATTGTAGAACATTTGGTGTACTGAAACCTAAGGGTTATATAGACTGTATCTAAATAATCCTGAAGAATTTATATGTATTTAAGTTGTAAAAACATGAGACCAGTCTGAAAATCACTGCCAATAATTTAGCATATGCTTATTAAATAGCATCAACAGAATGAGGAAACCAACCCTATGACCATTGTTTCAAGGGGAGATAATTTTTTATCGCTCCTCCCCTCCTCAAGTTTGTAATAAGAAGAATCATATAAAACAAGGGATTTGAATTTCCTTTGTTTCATTCTAAGCTAAGGCTTAATTTTGTATGAGGCGCATCTTTTGGTCAATTTCAACCAGTAAAGATTGGAAAATCACCATATGACTCAACTGTCTTTGTGACTGAACCAGTTCAGGGCCAGGTCAGACTACAAATTTTTGTATCTTGGTACAGAAATCTCTGAATTTTTTGATGGACTGTTCAAAATTCAAAGCATGGCAAATCCATTTCACAAATTCAGGTAAAGGGTTTAGAGATAAAAAAAAAACATGCAGGCATGCTAGGCTAGTTTCATCTGTTGCACATAACATAGAACACCGCATAAAGAATTTTTTTCCCAATTAAAGAAAAGGAAGCGGTGGCCTAGTGGTTATGGTGTCTGCCTCACAACCCAGGGATCATGGGTTAGAGCCCTACTTGGGTCATGGCCATGTTTCTTCATATGACATTAGTACTGGTTGGTTCCAGGATGCAGACTTGAAAAGGATTAATATAAGTTGCAAAAACTTGTTTCACAATCAATAAAAAACCAATTAAAAGATATACCCCTAGCCATAAGAAGACTGGTCTTTTGTGTATAACATTCCATAGTGTCTGGTTTTATATGTATAGTGATTGTATAGTATTTATACTCTGGATTATATGTAGAAAAGTAAGTTTCTGTTATGTCATGCACACTGTATTGTTTGAATTTGTGTGGTATGAATTGAAGAAATTGTATGCGAGAAGAATGCCTAACTACATAGAAGTATGAATCATTTGCAACTTAAAAGCTTTATTATACAATGTTAATTTATCCGAAAATGAAAACTTAACAAAATCTGTATCAAATAATCATTGTTATACGAGTTATTCACTGCGTAAAACACATATTCTCTTCTGACAGCTGTTACGTATCTATCTTTTTTTCTCTTTTTCGCTTTTACGAGTGTGAAATAGATCCTATCTAAATACATTAAACTGCTGTTACATTAGACATTATAATATTTTGTCAGGGACCAAAATTGTTAAATTTAAATGAAATACTCAACTAAAGAATCATGTTAAGCTTTTGATCATCTTCGTTTTTGTTCATTTTTTTTTTTTTTTTAAAATATGCGATAAAACTTGATTTAAGGTGAATGGTTGAACCTACCTTTCTTAAATTCCTTTATTAACAGGCCACTACAATAAGAAATTTGCATAAAATTTGAATTTGTAGGAATTACAGCAAATCAGGTTTTGGTAGGCAGTACTTTATATTTGCTTTGTCGCTTTTATAACCAGAAACAATTGATTGCTTACTATGAAAATAAAAAAGTTATTTTGCTTTATATACAAATATTTAAGATTCTGTTGTTGTTGTTTTTTTTCATTTTTCATTATCAGCTAATTATGAGAGAAAATATATATTGTGCTATTTATTTTGCACTTTTGTTTTTAACTTACCGATTTTTTTTAAAGAGCAATTTTTGTGTTGCACCGTTTTATTCTTATATTTTATCAATGAGGATTTTTTTTTATGTTTTCACAGTATTCTTTTATAAGTGTTAATGACAAAACCAATTTACCAGATCTTATTGTGCATTTCGCATTTTCTTGAAAAATTCATTTTCTTTCATTACTTAAAACAATTTTGTATTAAAATTTGATCTCTGTAAATATGCGTCTGTTTTCTTTATAACCAACAAGATATGACCTGTTTATACATAAGTAGATTGTTAATGAGACTTAGTTGCAAGTGGGAATCTGATCCTGCATGGTTAAGGTTGCCAACTTAACATGACCCGACTGTGGATCTAGTTTATGCCAGGAACTACAAATATTAATTTTGCATGTGAAGAAGCTATCCAGGCAGCATACCAAAGATTGGGGATCTATGCTTGCTCCCGATATGCACAGAGGGGCACAATTTGTTGACCACCAGTAAAGCTGGAAATTTATCATATACGTTGAAGTTTGATTCATGATCCCTAAAGTGCCCTTCATGTTTACATGTATCCAATCAGATTGACTTACGATTGTCATACACTTGGTATAAAATACTTAGTTCCTTCAAATCTGTATCAACAGATGTAACATCCTTGGATTATTTATACCCCTGAACCTTTTGGATGTACATACCCGTTAACCAGCTTTCAAGATTTTTATATCACCGAGAGGGGGATGAATTTCCTAAAAACAAGTGTTTCATAAACAAGAGCTGCTCTTTCAACAGTACACTTCACTATCTCTTAGAGACTGTATAGTACATTAAACCTTTCAGCAGGCTTAATCATAGTTCATTTAGGATATGAGTTACATTATGAAACCTAAAACTTGTGTAGCTTTTTTAATAAAAATACCTTCAATACGTTATTCTAATACCTATGTTTGTTATCTTCACCAGAAATATTGTTAACGTATGTACAGGATACTCAGTGGAAGAACATTTTTAAGCTAGTTTTAGCCTTGGAAATGACCTTCAAGTATGATCTTCAACACATTCGAACGGCCTCGATAACTTGTCATGAATATTTTCAAGGTAAAAACATTTTGTTCACACAAGTGCTTTATAATCTTCTATAATTAAGGGTAGTGACCTTAAATTATGCTCCTAAGGCAACTTAAAAAGTCTATACCTTTTATGGCTGAAGAACATGAAATTTCAAACAATAAATAATAATGGTAATGCTGAAGTATGCCCACTTTTCTTCCTATAGTCAAGGTAAAAAGTGTAAAATACTTGCCACACTACCAACCAAAAGTATTGTACGGGAATTAGCATCACAAAAGGGTTACCCAGGTTCATACATGTACAAACAACTACAACACTGCTCTATATTGCACAACTTTATTTAGTTCCATATTTAATAACAAAACACCAGTTACTTTCTATATTTTTCTTGTCATTATGATTATATAATTTTAGATTAAACATTTAACTGTGAAAATAACTGTGTGTGCAATTAATGTAATCTTATTAAAAAATTTAAATACAATTCTTTCTTCAAGGTAAAACAAGGATATTGATGACACTGGTATACCATGTTCCCTGGTGCAAAAAATTGTTAAAACTTATAAGAAAGTAAAAACGTATATTCTACATTCAGGACCATGAGCCTTACTCAACCTTCACTCCTAACCAATGCAGTGGTCAGTGCAAGGTTAGCACATGTCAAATTTATGGGACGATCATCATTTAAAACTAAAGGCCCCTTTTATGAGTAAAAATATTAAGATAAAATCCATTTTTAGCTTGACCTTAATGCAAATGATCTTAAACCCAATCTAAAGCTAGAAACCCATGAACGATACTTATACATAACAACTATCTGTCATTGGTCAATAAATAAAGGTGCTTTGAGTAGCGATAAAAGTATGTGGGAAGGAAGTGTCCTCCAGAGTCAAATTGCTTTATAAATTAAAGCCTTCAAACAGGCTTTTTCTTTGTGTTGAGGTTCCATTAATAGTAAAATTCTCTATAAACTAGAAATCTAGTTTGTACGTGTGCACATCTAATATTCCATTTTCTCCAAGTTTTCCTGTGTAACAGTGTATGGTTAAATACTCTGGTTTCATGCACTAAGTAAACAATTATACAGGTCCATTTCCTATATTAAAATCTGACATAAGCTCTAATCACAGTATCATGATGCCAATACATTTGGTTCTGCTGATTTTTTACACAATCTAGCTAACATTCCTGACATCTGGAGCAATGAATGGACACCCTCAGCTATTCTCATGTGTGTATAACCAATCTCCTAAAATCAACAAAATATAAAACACTTTCATTTGTAACATAAATAAAGCAAAATATTATTGATTTAGCGAAATGTGTATATAAATGTTGAAAATAAAATATGTTTTGTTGTTGCACAAGTTACAATAATAGCAAAAATCAGTGAAAATTCAATAATTTAACCTTCAAGGTCAAGGTCATAAATGAGCAAAGGTCAATTTGAGTTTAATAGACATGAAGATCTTATCCTAAAGAATGTTGTGTCTAAATATGAAGTCAATCAATCATTCATTAATAACAAAGTCATAGCCTGTCACCCCCCAAAAAAGAAAGAAAAAATTTTTTCAACCAATTTTTACCACCCAAGGACAACGAGTATGGTAAAATTTTAAAAATTGTTATTCAAATAAAAAAATTCAAACAACACTTTAATATTCATTCCCTTTATAAACCAAATTTAAGGTTTTTGGGGCATTTCATCTTTTTAAAAACCCCGGAACACAATCCAATGATGTTTTTCGGGAAGTAACCAGCCTCCAGAGATAAGCCTATTTGTAGTTATCTATTTTACTATAACACCAATGTTTTAAACTTTTCCTTTTTTTAAAGGGTGGTGTGGTTCATCACTCCCTAAAAACAGAAAAAAAAAAAAAATTTATCTAAAAAAACTAAATTATAACTCTTTATCTTGCAGAATCATCTAAATATGTTTTTGTAAATTATTTCATTTTTAGAGTTGCTGCCCTTCTCCGATTAAAACCGAGCCAGAGTTGTTGCCTTGATCCAACATAAAATATTGGCAATCTATGCACTGTTTCTTATGTGTTTTTTTTACTGCTGATTTCAGCACATTTTTTGGTCATACCTCAAATGTATTACTTTTTCTGGATACCAAAACAGCAATTACCAATGTCTCCACAAGTGACCAACTACAAAGCCTACACGATTTCTGAATCAGTCGCAAAAGACAAATAACCATTAGATTTAGTCCCAGATCAAATGTCATGGGGAAATTTCACCTCACCAGCGGATGGAACCAGCAAACCCCCGGAGTGACAGCTTCAAATGTAAACCATAGAAAAATACCATATATTGGGATGATTTTTTGTTTTGTTTTTTAATTTGGGTTTTACGTCACATCAACACAGTATAGGTCACATCGCAATGTGCCAGCTTTACTGGCGGAGGTAGACCTCAGGTGCCCTTCCGTGCATTATTTCAAGCACAAACTGGGGCACCTGAGTAGAACCACTGACGTTCCGTAAGCTAGCTGGATAGCTTCCTCACATGAAAGAATCCAAAGTCCCTGTCGGGATTCGAACCCACGGCAGTGAGGGGCAAGTGGTTTGAAGTCAACGACCTTAACCACTCGGCCACGGACGCCCCTATATTGGGATGAGATAATTGGTGAAGTAAGGGTATTAATGTCCTGGAAAATTCTTACAACCTTTATCATCAAAATTAACTTCTTACCTTGAAAACATTTTCACTGCTCACATGCTCAAATCCCTGATATGTTGACTGTAGATTGTTTAATGCCTAGAAGTAAAAAAGTACAATAATATAATGATATAGTAGCTGTTTTGAAGTTTTTAAAAAACAGAACCTAATATCCTTGTTGTCCAAATCAAAAATTGTTAAACAGAAGGGAAGTAACTGATGTATAGTACTTTAAAAACAAAAACAAAAATTTATGAATTAACATTCTAAAGATTTCCTAGATGATTAAAATAGGAAAATTTTAACACATACATGTAACAATAGATGTGATAACAACCAGCCTATGTCACCAGGCCACTTATTTCACAATTTTCATTTCCCTTCCTGACAGCCTGGCCCCAAAACTATAAGAGCCCCAATCATCAGTATAGAATCAAACCAGCCAGCACATCTATGCTATTGAAGAGTCAAAACTTTTTGGTTTCCCCTTAATTTTCCCCTTTTTTTAATAAAAAAAACCCCATAAAATAAAATTTTAAAAAATTTCCCCAAATCTTAAAGGTGGCAAGCATTTAAAAAATGTTTTAAAAGGGGCCTCCCGAGGTTTTTAACATGACTTGACTTGAAATAAATTTTTTAAAATAAATGTTCCATTCCATGTAGGTCTATATCAATAACTTGTGTGCAAAATTTTAAATCATTTTCTCACTCTGTTTTACTTGAACTTTTCTTATTTTGAAAAATGACCCAAATTTCAAAAGCATTGCAATGCTTATCACTCTAATCACACAAAAAATAGATTTTTAATTTACTTTTAATACTATTTCTTAATTATCTTTCTGTTTCAGCCAAAGCTGTTCTTATTGAAAAGATCAAATATCATGTTTTTAATTTTAGGGTTTTGAACCTCCTAGTGAAAATTCAAATTTAATGTTTTTAGACTTTTGGACCTCAGTGGAGTTCCTTTAAACAGTTTGTAAATGAAGTTACCTGTCTCATATCACCTTGTGCAGTAAACACGATCGCCTCTAACCCGTCATCCGTATAACTAACATTCTCTGCCTCACATACCTCCAGTAAACGTTTCAACACCTGGGCATCGGATAACTTTGTATATCGTAACACAGCACAACGTGACTGGATTGGCTCTACAATATTAAGAATTATTAATTTTTTAAAATGGAAATCTTTAAAAAAAAAACAAAAACAAAAAACTGACTGTCATTGCAAACAGGCAATACATGCAGTCTGAGATGTCTGCATCCATTATTAACCAACAGCAACTTAATCTACTCATACAACCAGTGCAGACAAAAATTAGCCAACACATCCTTGCCATCCGATCATGGTCTGCACAGTTCACCATTGAGTCATAACTTATTTATAATATCGCCTAAACAATGATTAAAAGGCTTAACAATGATTTAAAGGTTTTGTCAAGACGAAAAGAGAATTTTTAGCAAATTTAGCTTGGTAAAAGTTCAAAAATTAACAACTATCAGTTAAAGCTTTTTTATATATGCAAAAGTTCCATGCCAAAATAGTCATGGTTGGGACAATTCATCCCTTTCCTTCGTAAGTATGAATCAGAAAGAGAACAAATATTTCATTAAATGAAAAAGCTATACAGCTATCATGGTAATGATGGAAAGTCTCATTCAATACAGATTGAATGAGAACTACTGATTTAGAATTATCATTATATTTGGTTAGACTCTTTACGCATCCCTTTTTAAAGTACATGTACTCTATTTCTTGTATTCACTCTGAAAATTATTTAAATTTGATAATATTCATAACTTTATCAAACACTAGTTTATCATTTTCTTAAAGAACTTTTTTTTCAAAGAAAATTTTCTTTCGACTGTTCTGCCTTACATAAACATGCAGATATAGTAGAACAGAAAATGCTCCGCGGAAGTACTTACCAATGATTTTATCGGATGCATTACAAGCCAGGGCAAACCTTGTTGTTTTAGAATAAATCTCCATTGTTCTTCTTAAAGCTTGCTGAGCTCCATCTGTCATACTAGATCAGAATATAATTCAGTTTTTTTAAACTCTTTATATCAGAGAAAGTAACACACTAATTTCTGAAAAAAAGTTCAACAAATGCAAAAGCTATATATTTGTAATTACATAACAGTAACTTTATCCATCTACTCTACTGATTGGCCCTTGTTTCCAATAACATTTTGCAGGCTTAGTAGATAGACCAAGCAAATAAAATACATCAAAGATTGTTTATCCCTTAGCACTACTACCATTGAAATATTTATAGGAGAACAAAGTACAATGTACTTTCCAGCAGTGATAAAAGAGTTTACCCTGATTGAAAATTTATCCTTTATCAAGTTTCTGTGATTGTTTAATTTCATGTGAAATTTGATCAAAATAGCATAACATGGACAAGAAATCCTGTAGTAAAATAATCATTTCTGTAGCAATTTTTTTTGCCAAATAAGTAAAATATTAGCAAGTGATTTAAATACTGAATGGAAGAATGAATCTTAGAAGAATATATTTCACAGCAAAATGAGACACTTGAAATCTATTTATAAACTCCATGTCCATGAGTTAAAAACAGACAAGGAGAAATCTATTGAAGAAAGTGATCCATTTTGGCATAATGACATCTCTGTAGACAACACATGACAAAAACGTACAAAAACTATACTGAAAACAGTGGAAAAACAGCAAGATCAATGTTGGATTTATGTGACCTTTGTCTTATTTAACCTAACCAATCATTTGCATTTTTAATCTTGAATATATGCTAACCTGTCAGCTTCATCTAGTATAATTATTTTATGTCTCCCTGCAGGTAACGTAACTTTTTGTTGTGCGAACATCTTTATCTTGTTCCGAACTACATCTATACCTCTGAAATAAAATAGAATATCTGATAGTAAATGTATTGAAAATTAGATTAAAGTTTTGTTCATTTTTTAAAACAAATCTCTAGTTTGACGCTACATATATGCCGACTTTCCAGCTTTACGGGTGAAGGAAGACCTCAGGTGCTTGCATTAAAGTAATTCTAGTTCCAGGGAAAAGATCTCATAACCGGTAAAGCTGTAGCAAAAGGGACATGTGTTCTATCTTTATTGAGTATAACTTTATTTAGTTATATGCCATTATTTATATCTTTCATAACAAGTCAAACTTACGATTTCTTGAGCATGATTTTCCCTATACACATGACACAACCGCATTTACTTACAGACAAAAGTGATCGAGACATAATTAAAGTGTGGATGAACTGATAGACTGATGATCACAATACAACAATCACAATGAATGTTACCTGTCATTCGATGCATTAAGTTCTAGGACAGCTTCCTTGTACGACTGACCGAGCATTGCACGTGCCAAACACAATATACTGGTTGTTTTTCCTGTACCTGGGGGGCCCTGTAATAAGCAAATATAAATTAATTCTCATCAACACAACATCACAAGGCTGAATGATAAATAATTTTGTACTTAACAGATTTAAATGACTTAATTTTAAATTTTATTTTCAGATTAATCCCGATACAGGACAGAGTTGCATCCGAAGCTTTGAACTTCATAATGGCAATCTTGTTATTTAATTTATGCCAGGTGTAGACAATATTTTTGTCACTCAGATTTTTATGTCAAAACGACACAAAGGGTTGCTCAAAAGTTAAAACTCCAATAACGATTTAGAAAGTGATAATGACGCTATCTAAATTTAATAAACTCATCCGATTGTGTGGTAATTAACACAATCTGACAAGTATAATCATCTGCCAATGAATATCTGAATCAGAGATCAAAAATTCCAGTTGCTGCTTGTAATTACAAGTAGAATTATTAAGAGAACTTGGTGCAGAAAAAGTAGAAAAAATGTTGCCTGCACATTGGATTTTGAAGCTACTCATCCTGCTGGAGGAGGGACTCTGAAAATATTTTTCAATGCCTGTGAATGACATACTGAGAAATCTTGATTTACAGTATAACATCTGCAGAGTAACACCTTTTTGGGAGACAAATATTTTGGTTGTTGCTTAAAGGTAGTTGCTTAACAGAGGTAAAATACTGTGGAAATCTTTACATTGTCAAAAAATAATATAGTTGTAAGGTGGTTGTTCTTTGGAGGGTCACTCCGCCGAGGCTGTACTGTATATGTTGCCTTTCACGTTAGGCAATTAACAGAGCTATCCAGGTAAGCTCAATAGGTAGAGTTATGGAGAGTGAATAGAGCAATCCAGGTTTGTTTCCTGTACAGCGCAAGTCACTTTCAATGCAATTGATCATGAAACCTTTTCTAATTGTACCTCTGCTCCTGCATGTACAGCAGTTATCAGTTCCTTGCGAAAGTGATGACAACTAGTACTAGTCAACTGCTTGAGAGTGGTTGAACTGTGCTCCGTGAGGGTAAACTATGAACACCAACCAACCAACCATTTAGCATTAAATATGTGAATAAGATTATATAACCAGAGTGCCAGATTTGGAAATTTTTGACGAAAATGGGAAAACTAGCACTTTATTATTTTATCAAATTAATCAAAGAAATCAAACATTTGGCTTATTCCACTAATTTTATATTTCATGTACATGTCGTGTGGTCGATATTCGTGTTTTTGAATATCGTTTTTATGTATCATTTTGTCCTTGCATTTGTATATATATCTCTTGTATTTGTATGTTTCTTTACAGTCCGATATACAATCCATTATCCCATATCATTCCTATATCATTCCATTTCATCATCTCATTATAACAACTAATTTCTCATATTTCCTTCTGACATAATTTGCATGCCGGGCCTCAGTTTTTACGAACTTCCCGGAAAATCCACCTCACGCATGCGCACTTTGGTATAAATATTTCTATTGGTTTGCGCCAGAAATTGTTTGTCTTGTTTATTTATTTATTTATCAAGGCGTATGTTTATGTCCTTACAGGTAATTGTTGTTATTCATTATGTTTCATTATCATGCATATTTCCATTGATCGTTTATGTATTTCGGATCTGTATTTATGCACTTTGGTATAAATATTTCTATTGGTTTGCGCCAGAAATTGTTTGTCTTGTTTATTTATTTATTTATCAAGGCGTATGTTTATGTCCTTACAGGCATAAACAGACCATTCTTACATTTGAAAAGGACCATGTGACATTTGGCACCCAACGGGGGACCGTGACTGATATAGCTCAGAGTTTAATTTACATTGCTCTGTAACTCTGTGAAATTCGAGGACGAATTTCAAAATAGCAGGGGAGTATGTCACGGTTCAGAACTGTTCACTATATAGGGGAGAAGATGTGTAAGCGGCCGGATAGCTCAGTCGGTAGAGCCGCGGTACGGTATTCCGAAGGTCCCGGGTTCGAGTCCCGGTCAGGCTGCACATTTTTCTCACCCTGTGACATACAGGCACAATTTCAAAAGTGGAATACAAAAATGGGAATGTTCTCCTTGAAATTGAAGGAAACAAGTTTGGCATTTGGAATATAGCCCAATATTGGGCATCAAAATGGGCAAAAAAAGCCTGAAACATCAGTTTCTCAATTCCTGTACATTAGTAACTAATGTTTTAATCAAGATACCAACCAAACATTCTACAGATTATGACTGACAGTTCAAATATAGCTTTATAATCTTAAACAATCCCATGGAAATAAATGATTTCAGGCAAAAAAGACTTACTGCAATAATAACATTTGGAACATTGCCTTCTTTAGCAAACACTTCTAGTCTAGTAATTGTTTGCTCATTTCCAACTATATCAGACAGCTTTACTGGTCGAAACTTTTCTACCCTGAAAATGAAGAAAGACAAAGCATCATACAAGTTACAACCAGTGCTGAAATTACTTTTTTTCATTGGTCTACTAGTTCAAGTGATCTTAAAACACATTTTTTTTTTCAAAAATAACAAAAATAATAGCGAAAGTTTTTAAAAATCGGTACCTTAGACAGCAGTCTGTAGGAGTCAGCCACATTTCAACATGTCAAAAATGAAGTTGCATTCAAAATTAACAAAAAATTTCAGCAAGTGATACATTTCATATATATATATTTGTGTGTATCTTTTAAAACGTTGACATATAAAATTCTAAGATAGGACTTTTCACACAATTATTATACTTTTCATTTGTCTTGTCAATAATGGTAAATACTAAATAATAACAAGAGCCCGGTTTGAGCCGGGTGATGCTCCCCGAATAGGTTTTGGACACAAAAAGTACACCTCTTGTAGTTTCAGAGTTATGTCCCTGGAAAAAGTTCAAAGTGCAATAATACCAAAATTAGGCAAGGCAGAGTTATTGTTCTTTGCACTGCACTTCTAATCAATGTGATCTATCAACCTACAAAGTTTCTTGATGATATCTCTTATGATTTCCGAGTTATGTCCCGGACAATTTTAAAAAGTAAAAATAAAGAAAGGGCAATAACTCCAGAATTAGGCAAGGCAGAGTTATGATTCTTGTGCACTGCACATCTACCCATTGAGATATATCTACCTACAAAGTTTCATGTTGATATCTCTTATAGTTTTATAGCTATGTCCTGGAAAAGATTTTTCTAAAAGGGGAGATAATTCAAAAATGAGGCTTAACAGAGTTATGGTTCTTTTGCACTGCACTTCTAATCAATGTGATCTATCTACCTACAATGTTTCATCTTGATATCTCTTATAGTTTTAGAGTTATATTCCGGACAAAGTTCAAAGTGTTAAAATAAACAAAGGGCAATAACTCCAAAATTAGGACAAAAAGAGTTATTGTTCTTATGCACTGCACATCTACCCATTGAGATATATTCACCTACAAAGTTTCATGTTGATATCTCTTATAGTTTTAGAGTTATGCCCCGGACAAGATTTTTCTATAAGGCGAGATGATTAAAAAACCGGGCATAGAGTAATGGTTCTTTGACACTGCACTCCCCCTCAATGCCCTCTACCACTGTATGAAGTTTCAACAAATTATCTCCAAGGGTTTTCAAGTTATGCTCCGGACAAGACAACGGACGGACAGACGGACGTTCTCACAGGACAGTAATTATGTGGCTACTCTATTGTTCTCTCTATTGTTCTTTTTAGCCACCCAAAAGAAAATAGCCACATAAAAGCATTACGGAATGAATGACATCAAAGAGAAAGAACGGTTACCTATTGTCCCTCTAGCCACATAATTACTCTCCTGTGAGTGCGGAAGGACGGACAGACGGACAAGGCGCTGACTATATGCTCCCCCGAAATTTTTCAGGTAGCATAAAAATATATTAACATCCATTTAACTGCTTGCCAATCATATTTTGATATTTTGTGAATGGCAAGCTGTAAAATGGATTTTTTCTGATGGTGAATTTGCAGCTGCTTCTAATGAAACAAAACTTGTTCATGAAGCTATTTTGGGTTTGATACTTTCTGATGGTAGATCACCGACTAGTTTCAACAGTGATCTAATGAATATCTATCATGCTACATGTATGTCTATGAAAATATGTCTTCCTTTAAAAGATATTTCTGAGCACAATGTTGACCAAGACGGTTAAATATTATATACCTTGTTTTTATCTTATTTAATAAATGGTTGGCACTGCCTTTTTTTACAAGTTGGGGAAGCACCCCTGTCCTTAATTTTGGGGAAAATTATGCAGTATATTTGTAAAATAGGAAACAAAAACTTTATGTAAATCCAATTTTGGGTAAACTGCATGATTTTAAAGATTTTTTTTTTTTTTTTTTTTTTTTGGGGGGGGGGGGGGCCTTAAAACAATGGGAAGGCCCCATAAACAAGCTCCTGGTATAGAGAGAAAAACCCTGTGGTGCTAAATTTAATTTTCTTCTTTAAGGTCAACAGGAGACTATTCATTTTAAAGCTGCACACCTCCAGATGAGCCAAAATATTTCAAGAAAATCAATATTGAGAAAAATCTACGAAAATATTAAGTAAGGTAAATATTCAAGATTCAAGTTATATTTTATGTGTTATGTGTGGTTTAAGACTGATTTTGAAGTATTTTGTAACCAGATTTCTACTGCAAACCTAACGCAGTAAGGGCTGTTTTTGCATATGTTGACGACTTTTTGGTAATTTTCTTGGATTGTAAGTGCCGATTGCAAATGTAAATTACTATTTTTGTTCACCTCACAATATTTTACATTCAAATACATTTCTAAAATTTTCATGAAAATTAACATTAATCTGGAGGCGTGCTGCTTTAAAAAAAAAACCCGAATCAAATGCCTGCACATGTTAGTCTTAAACGTTTTTTGAAATTTCACATCCATGATTTTTACACTGGCTTGATGAAGTTTAGCTTAGACTCCTAGATGTAATGTATCTCTGCATGAAATAACAACCTGATAACAGACTGCTTAAATAATGACAGGAATTACTAGACAGTGAATTGAAAAGGGTTGATTCAAGAAGTTCTATAGCAGTGTTGCATCTAGAATTTCAAAATCATGGTGTCCCCCACTCAACAGAAAAATGTGGGGGATTTGAAAAAAATTTAGGGGACATGCATTTACCTAACAATTTGAATGTACCGAAAAGAATTCATGTATTTTTACGTTTAGGCATTTTTGATAGCTATCGTTCGCACAACAATATATAAAATATAGATAAATAGAAAAAATAAATATTGACCAGTACTAGTAAAGCGCACAGATCAAACCATCAATACACACACGAAATAACCCGGTCGGCTGCAATTTAATGTATTTTAGTCATTACCGCAAGTGATAATATGAAAAAGGCAAAGCCTCAAAGCGAGCTCGATGTCATTTTTGTGTGAAATAGTATGAAATAATCCCTCATTTTTATTTCAAATGCAGTAACGAGTGCGTGTGACGTCACACGTACTGTGTTAAATATGGGTCCGCCCCTGTCGTGAAATGAATAACGAGTTTTTAAAACGTTGATAAAACTTTGTTTTATTTTATTTCACTCTATAATTTTTCAAGCGAAATAAAGATTATTTAAAGTGAAATAAATGTAAAACTTAAAACGTTTGCGACATTAAAGTAGCGTACTTGATTTGTTTGTTTTGCACGTGCTGTTTGGCGCTACATTGTGACGTCACGTAAACAATACTTTAAACGTCTGTACAGCGTTAACGACTGAATAAAAGATATTGATGTTCGGATTCATTTTCTTAGTTCGACCATTTTCTTTCATTCTAGATAGTTTTCACAACAAAATTCGACAAAAAATTGTTTTTATTTATCAGATTTCAAACAAAATGGCGCCTTCGATTTTCATGTTTTATACACAGCTTCCGTTATTCTGGTTCCCTGTCCAATTATGGTTCCCATAGACGTGCGCGGGTGACAAGTCTACACATCCGTTTTCAGTCAGAATTCCTCAGTTTTTATCATTATCTTTAAATTCGAAAGGTTGCGATGTGTCCAATTCGGTACTTTGGACGAAAGTTTTCAAAACCATCACTTAGCAGGTACTCGAGTTACCGTAAAGCTCGCTTTGCGAGCAGGCCCTTCGGGCCAGCTCGTCGAGCTCGCTAATAAACATGGCAGAAGCGTTCAAGATATAATGAAGATTAACTGACTAAAGTTGAAAAGATCTTGGCACACACTGACTTCATTAAAATGTGCAATCTGCAAAAAAATATAAGCAAATCACACAATCGCGCAGCCTAGATGCAACACTGAAGTGAAGATAGATGTTCACAGAGTAATGAGATTGTTTTGACTTTCAAAGCATTACGCAGAGGTTTAATGTTTAAAGCCATATTTATATGAGAAAGTTACATTATCAAGAGACCTATTTAATGAAACTAGACAAAAGTTGATGATTAAAATATAGTGGCTTCAGACCTGTTTCATTAGGAAGACTGTAAACTATTTATGCTTGTAGATAAAAATATTTCTTAAAGCATGTCATATTTACCAAGGAACTTCATTGAAGCCTGTACTTGATTCTGGTTTATTTAATTGTTGATCAGTAGCATCACCGGTTTCCATTTTCTCCTCCGACATTGTTTCTCAACAATTTTTCCCGCAAAAGTTTTGGTAAAGTGATTCTAACGAAGAGAATTTATTTACACACCGCTTCCCAAACCGGAAACGTAAATTAAACGTTCGGCGCCATTGTTTTGATAAACACAAAAACAAAGTGTAAATCCAGTTCAATCTGCAAAACTGTTGCATGAATTTGACTTTAATTCTTACAAGATATAATTAAAAGGCAGATATGTCTATAGGCGTGCCTATTAAGGTGATGCATGAGGCTGAAGGCCATATTGTTACTTGTGAAACTACTACCGGCGAAGTGTACAGAGGAAAATTGGTAGAAGCCGAGGATAATATGAATTGTCAAATGGCGAACATTACTGTTACTTACAGAGATGGAAGAGTAGCACAATTAGAAAATGTTTATATCCGTGGTAGCAAAATAAGATTCATGATTCTACCTGATATGTTGAAAAATGCTCCCATGTTCAAGAAAGTTCAAGGCAAAGGCCAATCTGCCGGTCGAGGAAAATCTGCAATTCTTAGAGCACAAGGTATATTTAGAATATTGATTACAATCTAGCTCAGCCTCTGAAATATTCTTGTCTGTCCCCACTTCATTTTAGGATTTATTCATATGATATACAAACATTTTTGTTATACATAGAATTATAGGCTAAAGTGACACTGTTTTATAACCAAGCAGTGATTTTCCAGCTGAACTGGTGAAGGAAGACCTTGTTTGCCCCTTCGTGCACTATTTTCAGACACAAGCTGGAACATCACTAAGTGCCGCGTCAGGTTCCGAAACCACAGGAGTTATTTTTCAGATTGTATTATTTGGATAACATTTATTTTAGCAATGATATGGAGATCAGTTAACCATTTTAAGTAAAAGAAATATGCACAGTTTAGCTTAACCTATTTCCAAAATTGTATGAATGTTTTTTTATCTATAAACTGAATAAGTCAAATTCTTGTTGATTGTAAGAAGTTATCAAGTTATATTATTCTGTTCATGATAAAAATTTTTCTATTATTATTGAGTTATCTTTACCTTTATGTACTTTCAGCTGCAAGAGGACGTGGTCGAGGTGGTGGAGGAGGAGGCGGCGGAAGAGGGCGTGGTGGACCAATGTTTAATCGAAGATAATCACATCACAAATCATTTCATATCCAGGACAGCATCTAACATGTTCATCGATGAACTAAAATACAGTCTGTGTCGAGATAGGCTGACGTGTGTATTGTCAGCTTTGTTGCTGTAGATATTGTTTTTATATTTTGTATAACTGTGATTGAGTGTGAAAGTGATTGCTCTCTGCAATGTAACAGTGAAATGATGTGAAATTGAATGGTGTTTGATGTAGGATGTGTATCACTAAAGACAGTTGATATTGATTCCATAGAATTGTTATAGGTTTTAGACCGCTGTATCCATGTTTTCATCTCCCATTTTGTATCCATGTTTTATTATTGAATGTCATTGTGAATAATTTAGCTATTACACTTTTATATATGTTTGTATGGCATAAAGTTACATTAAGTCTCTTTAAACTTTTAAAAGAGTGAACTTTCAAAATAATTAATTTTTTCATTGCAACATAATACATTCATCATTACAAAGTGGTTAGCAATTTTCAAAGTGGTTGATTAATGGTCTTCTATTGTTGTTGTAAATCAAAAAACTTGTTAATAATTTCTTTCTACAAGTTATTATAAATCATAGATTAATTAATATCACTATCAGTGTTTTACAGTTAAATCTTAAATGTAAAGGATCTACATGTATGATGAAAAGTCACAAAGTCAAGTGTGTTCAGAAATACTGTAATTTTATGTGTTTTTGTTAATGATTCATCCATAAGTTTGTAAATGAAGCTAAAGTAGCAAATGCTTATTTACAAGCTATGATGATTTACCACTTTTTAAGATACTTTAATCTGTTACTTGAATTTGATGATTGTAGATATTGTAAGATCATGGTAGAAATTTTGATCAAATAAAAGTGACCTAAAAAGTTTTACTTTATTATGAATTTGTTTTCTTTTTAAAATGATGTAAAAAGAAATAACATGATATTACATAACCAGAGCACCACATACTTAGTATTGATGGTGAGCTTTTGTGATTACTCATTGTCCGTCCTTCAACATTTATCAAACAAACTCTCAAATATCAACAAATCTTGTTATAAGAATGTTTCATGGTCAATTCAGGCCTCTTGGTCTGAATCTCAAAAGTTAGTGACCATTTCACCAAAATTTAGTTATTTTGATATTTTACAACCATTAAACAGTATTTCTCAATTAAAAATAATGCACATTGTCTAACAACTGTGCCTTGTCAAGGTTATCAAGAAGTCCAAGTTTCATGTTAATATCTGGTATTGTTTTGACATCTACTTCAGGGATTTTTTCCAGGATTTTGGGAACATGACCCATACCCATGGAATTGGGAATTTCAGCGGTGTTTTGTTAAAAATTGGGGAAAAAAATGCATGACTGAAATTTTGCAATGTTTAAATGAATGCAAACAATCACTGTCTAGGATGGCATCTTTCACACATTTAAGCACTATTACAGTGAAGAAGCCCTCATTTTCAAAGATTTTTGAATTTTTATTCAATATTTTTATTTTGTAACTTTCAATTGGCAATTTTTTCCTGTGAATTGGGAAAATAATATACTATTTTCAATTGGGAATATGACCCAATAACGGCTATAAAATAAGCCAAAAAAAATCCCTGTACTTAACAGGCACTGTAGACAAAAATTCAAAAAGGGTCATAACTCCAAAAATATAGCTTTCAGAGTAATGCTCCTTGTCTTACAACTGCCTCCAGTGATAATAAAGAAGCACATTATGTTGCTACAAGTACCTTTCAAATTGTTTGAGTAATTGACTACATTCTACATTAAGTGTTTGTACAACAATGAAGACACGCCGATTATAATAGCTTGACTTCAATCTTCGAAACAGAAAAGCTAACTATTTAACTGGATAGTTTAAGTTTTGGTGCTGTAAAATATTTTTCACTAGTTATATTTTTTTCATTTCTTGAGGTATCAACTCGGGCTTCGCGAAAGTTCAATGTCCGGCAAAAATCAGGCCGGTCCGATATTTTTTTTTTGAGTTCCGGACCTTATGTCCGGTACAAATACCGGGATATATCCAAGACCGAGTTTTCTCCCTTGAATAAAAAAATGTAAAACGAGTTTTGATTCGCCGTTTCATTATAAGTGTCCGATACTTACGACTGTCAATAACCAAAATGTCGGTGTTACTACATTATTACGCTGGCGCTACGCCCGGCAAAAATCGTAAACTATCCAATGAAGAAAGAAAAGCGAAACAAAAGGAATACGAGTCCAGGCGCCCGCCGAGAAATTTGTGGGTAAATGGAAAAATGGCCGCTTTGATCATGAATGTTTTGATTTCCAAACAGAGTCCATCCACAGGTGCTTGAAACAAACTTTTTAAAGTTTTATATGGGCTATATTATATACTAGTCTATATATCTTTATATACATATATAGACTGGTTATGTAAAATATTTGAATATATGTGACTAGCGCCTGTGAGTCCATCAATCTGGATAAACTAATGTTTTATTTAAGGGAATAAAATTGTGTTGCAAATCTTTAAAAGTTGTTATGTCTTTTAAAAAAAACAAGGTATTACCATATACATATATTTGGGGGGAAAAATTCGGTCAGACAAAAGTTCTTTCGGTCAGACAAGAATTGAAAGTTTGTCTGACCGAATGTCAGGCAAATTTTTCAGCAGTTTCGCGAAGCCTGTCAACTTCAAACATCAAATATATGTTCCTTATCATCAACTGCATCTTATGTGACAAGGTCCACAACTCTAGCACCAATATTTTCAGATTTATCTCTCTTAAACTTAGAATTACCTTAATAAATATTATTTTTTACTGTTACTTTATTATGCTCCCTGAAAAAATTTCGGGGGAGCATATAGTTGGCGCCTTGTCCGTTGTCTCGTCCGGAGCATAACTTGAAAACCCTTGGAGATAATTTGTTGAAGCTTCATAGAGTGGTAGAGGGCATTGAGGGGGAGTGCAGTGTCAAAGAATCATAACTCTATTTTGTCCGGTTTTTGATTTATCTCCCCTTATAGAAAAGTCTTGTTCGGGGCATAACTCTAAAACTATAAGAGATATCAACATGAAACTTTGTAGGTGAATAGATCTCAATGGGTAGATGTGCAGTGCATAAGAACAATAACACTTTTTGTCCTAATTTTTGAGTTATTGCCCTTTGTTAATTTTAACACTGAACTTTGTCCGGAACATAACTCTAAAATTATAAGAGATATCAAGATGAAACATTGTAGGTAGATAGATCTCATTGAGTAGAGGTGCAGTGCAAAAGAACCATAACTCTGTTAAGCCTCATTTTTAGCTCACCTGTCACAAAGTGACAGGGTGAGCTTTTGTGATCGCTTTTCGTCCGTCGTCCGTCCGTAAACTTTTACTTTAAATGACATCTCCTCATAAACCACTAAGCCAATTTCATCCAAACTTCACAGGAATGTTCCTTTGGTGGTCACCTTTAAAAATTGTTCAAAGAATTTAATTCCATGCAAAACTCTGGTTGCCATGGCAACCGAAAGAAAAAACTTTAAATATCGTCTTTTAAAAAACCATAAGAGCTAGAGCTTAGATATTTGGCATGAAACATCATCTAGTGAGTGTCTACCAAGTTTGTTCAAATAAAAGCCTTGGGGTCAAAATTGGCCCCCCCCCGGGGGTCATTGATTTTCCCTATATGCATATAGTAAAAACTTAAAAAATCTTCTTTTAAAGAACCCAAAGAGCTAGAGCTAAGATATTTAGCATGAAACATGTTCTAATTGGTGTCTACCAAGTTTGTTCAAATAAAAGCCCTGGGGTCAAAATTGGCCCCGCCCCGGGGTCATTCATTTTCCCTATATGCATATAGTAAAAACTTAAAAAACCTTCTTTTAAAGAACTCAAAGAGCTAGAGCTTAGATATTTGGCATGAAACATCTTTTAGTGAGTGTCTACCAAGTTTGTTCAAATAAAAAGCCCTTTGGTCAAAATTGGCCCCGCCCCGGGGGTCATTGATTTTCCCTATATGCATATAGTAAAAACTTAAAAAATCTTCTTTTAAAGAACCCAAAGAGCTAGAGCTACAATATTTAGCATGAAACATGTTCTAATGGGTGTCTACCAAGTTTGTTCAAATAAAAGCCTTGGGGTGAAAATTGGCCCCGCCCGGGGGTCATTGATTTTCCCTATATGCATATAGTAAAACTTAAAAATCTTCTTTTAAAGGACTCAAACAGCTAGAGCTTAGATATTTGGCATGAAACATCTTCTAGTGTGTGTCTACCAAGTTTGTTCAAATAAAAGCCCAGGGGTCAAAATTGGCCCCGCCACGGGGGGTCATTGATTTTCCCTATATGCATATAGTAAAAACTTGAAAAATCTTCCTTTAAAGAGCTAGAGCTAAGATATTTAGCATGAAACATCTTCTAATGGGTGTCTACCAAGTTTGTTCAAATAAAAGCCCTGGGGTGAAAATTGGCCCCGCCCCGGGGGGTCATTGATTTTCCCTATATGCATATAGTAAAAACTTAAAAAATCTTCTTTTAAAGAACTCAAAGAGCTATGGCTAAGATATTGAGCATCAAACATGTTCTAATAGGTGTCTACCAAGTTTGTTCAAATACAAGCCCAGGGGTGAAAATTGGCCCCGCCCCGGGGGTCATTGATTTTCTTTATATGTGTTTAGCAAAAACTTTAAATCTTCTTTGAAAAAACCCAAATAGCTAGAGTTTAGATATTAAGCATGAAACATCTTCTAGTAAGTGTCTACAAAGTTTGTTCAAATAAAAGCCCTGGGGTCAAAACTGGCCCGGCCCCAGGGGTGTCATTGTTTTGAACTATATGTGTATAGTAAAAACTAAAAAAAATCTTCTTTTAAAAAGCCCAATGAGCTAGAACTTAAATGTTTAGCATGAAACATCTTCTTATGGGTGTCTACCAAGTTTGTGCAAATAAAAGCCCATGGGTTAAATTGGCTCTGCAACGTTGGGGGAGTGGGGGTTGGGAGGGCCTATATACAGGTGAGCGACCTCAGGGCCATCATGGCCCTCTTGTTTAATAATCTCCCCTTTTAGAAAAATCTTGTCCAGGACATAGCTGTAAAACTGTAAGATATATCAGCATGAAACTTTGTAGGTAGATATATCTCAATGGGTAGATGTGCAGTGCACAAGAATCATAACTCTGCCTTGCCTAATTCTGGAGTTATTGCCTTTTGTTTATTTTTACTTTTTGAAGTTGTCCGGGACATAACTCGGAAATCATAAGAAATATCAAGAAACTTTGTAGGTTGATAGATCACATTGATTAGAAGTGCAGTGCAAAGGACAGTAACTCTGCCTTGCCTAATTTTGGAATTATTGCACTTTGAACTTTTTCCAGGGACATAACTCTGAAACTACAAGAGGTGTACTTTCCTGTGTCCAAAACCTATTCGGGGAGCATCACCCGGCTCAAACCGTGCTCTTGTTTCATAAGGGATCAGCTTCATACTTCAAATATTTGTTACATCTCGTAAGGCCTCATAACTAGCACCAATATTTTCAGATTTATCTCCCTTTGAACTTAGAATTTTCCTTAAAAATATTGTTTTTACTGTTACTTCTTTATTTCTTAACTTATCAACTTCAAACATGAAGTACATATTCCTTATCATCAACCACATCTTG